AGTGGCAAAAATCAGCAGTTTCTTGTACCACTCCAGTCCCCACTAATTTTTTAACTGGGGGTAACGGGTTTATCTTCCTGCTGCTGGAACTCTGGACTGTGCAGTCTGGCCTAGGGCTGGGATTGCTGGTTCCCAGGGTATCCTACCTGTTCCACCACTGCTGCCACCACCTTTCCATGCCATACTGCCTCTCCGCCGTCCATACAACTCCTCCTACCTGTCTGGACGAATGTGTCTTCTTTAAATCCTGGTTGTAGGACTTCCATGTAGCTTGATTTTCTGATGGTTCTGGGTGTTACTACTAGTTTTGTGACCTGGTTGTAATTCTTTCTATGGTTGTGTGAGGAGACAAAGCATGTCTACCTATGCCTCCACCTTGACCGGAAGTCCTCTGTATTCTATTTTGTATTTGACTTTTTTCCCATCCTAACACTGTCTAGACATTTTCCTGCTTGCATCGCCTTTAAAATTTTTTTCATGGCTATATAGTGGTGGGTAAAAGTAGGTTTACAGTTTTTTTTTATGGAAAATAGTACAGTAATTGTCTTTGTGCATAAAGTTTTTCTCTCATATATTCATTCAGCAAACATTGAATGGGAATTATGTCCCAGGTACTGAAGGCATTGGGCACACAAAACAAGTAAGGAGAATGAGATTAGTGGGGGGGTGCATGTGCATACAGGTACATTACTAAAGTTTTACAGGTCCTGTGCAAGAACTGCATTTGGGATTTAGTGACTGTGCATAGTATGTATGCATTATAATTATTTAACTGTTCCCTAATTTATGTATAAGTCTTAAAGACCATTTATTTACTTACTACATGTCATTGGTAGTTACACACATTTTGTGTTTTTCTTTGGTCAGCCTTATTTAGAGTATAACTTGATGTATTATTTAATTTGTTGCATAATGTTTGAACATATTAGGGACTAAGAAAGTCTCCTAAGAGAAGTTGTGGGTGGGTATGGTGGCCGTCTTCAGCAATGAAAAAAGTTGACATGTGTAGGCCAGAAAAATTGGCCCAAGGAGCAGAGGCAGGACTAGTTAGCTAACAGATGGAAGTTACAGGGAAACAAATGTTAACTCAGAGTAAAGAAGAGCTCTCACACAGAGGTGTCTGTGGTGGGATGGATTGCACAGGAAGTAGTTTATCAGTGGGACCGTCCCTGCTTGGGCTTGCTGTCCCCTTCTTGGGCATGCTACATGACAAATTCAGCACTGGAGGGGGCTATGGGGAGAGCTAAATGGTCTTTAAGACTAAGACATTAGACTTAGCAAAGACTCATCTGTCTTTTGGAAAGAAATTTGGAATTGAAGAATATTAATGTCAGAACCCCTCTTAATGTTTACCTTTGTTTATAATTGAATTTTTAAAATTAGATTTCTTCTGTTACAACAGAAATACAATCTTGCTGTAAAAGCAAAAGATGTGTAAAAGCATTTAAGTGAAAAAATGAAATCATAGTAACATGCTATTCTGTAGTAAAATTGTGCTGAAAGGCTTACAAGAACAGCAGCAGTAGCTGTCTCCTGTTTGTACCCACTCTCAGTGTTGTTTCATTCCTAATGGACCTCCAATTTTTTGCCTGTTTTTTCTGGTATTTTCATATTTCTAAGTAACATATGTATGTCACTTTTCTCGGTTTATTTCAGAATTACCCATAGACTTCCTGTTACAGTGTGATTTTAGCTCATCTTCTTCCTCTCCCATCATCTCCTGATACTTGGTGATGTGCTGGCTTTTTTTGTTGTGAACCCACAAGTTACAGCATCTGTAGGCCTCTTCGGAGTTTTTTAAGTTCACATGCTCTAGGAGGAGTCTCTGACTGCCCTTCGAAGGGGTAAACCTGACGGCACGTGTTCTAGAGCTGCTCTAGAGCTGGTGGGAGAGAGGCACCAGGGTCCTTTTGTAATTAGACTTGAACTTAATCCTTCTATATTCACTTTATTTTATCCCTGCCTTTCTCTCTTCCTCAGGTCCTAAGTCTGGGAGTACATTTATCTTGTCTTTGACACAAATAATTGCTGTTTTTTGAATACTTATTATTGTCAAGCATTGGGCTAAGTCTTATGTGTATTAATTTTAATTCTCTCAAGTCTTCTGTGGGTACTAACTATTATTATTATTCTCATGTTATTGATGAGGAAATTCAAGTTTAGAAAGGTTATATAACTTGCCAAAGATTAAACAGCTTAGAAGGTGGTAATGTCCAGGCTTGAGTCTGTGTTCTTAACCATGGAGCAATATTGCCTGCTAAGTCCTTAATGATAACTTCTCTTTGTTGCAAAATTTGGGTAAATACTGGTTTAGAGTTTCTTTTTTTTGTTTACTTTTTTTCTTGCCTTCCTATGGGTTTCTTGGACATTTTTTAGAATTCCATTTTGATTTATCTGTGGTATTTTTTCAGGGTATTTCCTTAGCTTTTTAGCAGTTACTAGGTATTATATATACACAACTTATCACCATCTGCTGGTGTTGACATTTTACCAGTCCAAGTGAAGTATAAAGAAACCTTACCTCCATTTATCCTCCTTTGTTTATAATGTAATTGTCTTAAATATTTCCTCCATGTACATTTGAGACCCAATTAAGATAGTATTGTAATTTTTGCTTTGTGTCAAAACTCAGGTAGATAAAAAAGTCTCTATTTACTGATATTTTTACTCTTTTCATTGTTCTTCCTGATGTTCTAAAATTTTTTTTTATCATTTCCTTTCCATTTAGGGAACTTTAAAAAAAAGATTTTATTTATTTATTTTTAGAGAGAGGGAAAAGGGAGGAAGAAAGAGGGAGAGAAACATCGATGTGTGGTTGCTTCTCAGTGCAACCACCACTGGGGACCCGGCCCACAACCCAGGCGTGCGCCCTGAGTTCAACAGGCTACCCTTTGGTATGCTTTCGTGAGCTGTTCTTTTAGGGTAGATCTGCCAGTGACAAACGTCTTGATTTACCTCTTTGTATCTGAAGGATATTTTCATTGGGTATAGAATTTGGGTTGATAGTTCTTTCAGCACTTGAAAAATGTTTTTTGAAAAATACTTCCTTCTGACCTTCGTGGTGTCTGATGAGAAATCTGTCCCGTGAATTGCTCCCCACAGGTCGTGTCATTCCTCTCTTAATGCTGTCAAGATTTTTTACTTTGTCTTCTGTTTTCAGAAGTTTGTCTCAGTGTTTTGGAGTGGATTTCTTTGGAGTGGAGCTCATCCTGTTTGAGGTTCATTAAGCTTCCTGAATCAGCAGGTTTTAAATCTCTTGCCCAGCTCAGGAAATTTTCAGCCATTACGTCTTCAGATACTTCGAAGCCCCCGTCTCTGTTCAGTCCTTCTGAGACTAATGATTGGGCTTTGGGTCTTTCATTCTGTCTCACAGGCCCACGAAACTCTGTTCTTTTTTTCTCCATCTTTTTTTTTCTCTATTGTTCAGATTGGGAAATTTTTATTTCATTTTATTTACTAATTCTTTCCTCTTCTTTCATTGACTGCTGAATTGATCTCTGAGTTCTTTATTTTAGTTATTTTAATTTTCAGTTCTCAAGTTCCCATTCAGTTCTTCTTTCTCTGTATCTTCTATTTCTTTGCTGAGACTTTGTTTTGTTTGTTTGTTTGTGTGTTTTTCTCATTTATTTCAAGCATGTTTGCAATTGCTTATTAAAGCATTTTTATGATGGCTGCATTTAAATTTTTTGTCAGATAATTCTAACATTTGTGTCATCTCTGTGTTAGTATCTGTTGATTGTCTTTTCTCATTCAAGTTCAAATTTTTTTTTTTGTTCTTGGATTAATAGCGATTTTCAGTTGAAACTTGGGCCTTTTGGGTGTTATAAGACTTTAGAGCTTATTTAGTATTTAAATCTTGTGCCTTAGCAGGCTTCCTTTGATACGTACCAGAGGGAAGAGAGGGTACCATGTTGTTATTGTCAGACGGGTTAGAAGTCAAGTTTCTCATTGGCCGCATTAGGCTGGGTAAGTTTGGAAGTTCAAGGCTCTCCACTGGGCCTCCTAGGCTGGTAGTGTCCTGGCTGGAAAGGATAGAACTGCCTTGTTCCTGGTCCCCACTACACTGTACTGGGGATTTTCATTACCACCTGGTGGGTATGAAAGTTTGGCTCTCCGCCGCACTTTCTCTGACCCCAGTTAGGAGGGAAGGGGGCTTCGCAGTTTCTGGGCAGTAGTAGAAGTTTAGACTCTCTGTTTAGACCTTGTTGGCTGGGGTTGCAGTTTTTTCTGTGGTGGTTACTGGAGTAAAGTGATTATTGTCTAAATGTTTTCTGTCTCTCTGGTTTGTCTTTTCCTGGTCCTTTGGTTCCAGAAAGCAGGCTCTTCTTGAGCCCTTTTTTAAGTGTATGCCCATTGGTATCACTGTGTTGTTGGCTTCTCCATCACTTGGTCAAGGACATCTGGATCATAGGAGGCAGAAAGAATATCCAAGGAACTGTTAGGTCATTTTTTTTTTTTACCCTGCAGTCACTGACCAGTTGTCATCTTTCTGCTTTTCAGAATCTTTTTTGTTTGTTTTGTTTATGTATCATGACCAGGGTGCTTAGCTGTAGTTAGCAGCAGGAATTCATTCCTTTCTTAATTATTTTAAATAACAGATACTTATCTTTCTTATTTTGTTTATGTTCTGAGGGACAGTCTCAGAAAGCTCAGATATTCCCTCCCCATCTCCAAGAAAAACCTGTTTTTTGTCATATCAACACTTACGGGCTTGCTGACTATATAGACTCTAAAACGTTTGAATATGTTCTTTCACAGAGCCACTTACAGTTATCTTGAACTATTAAGAGCTTCTTTCACTAGATATGAAAGTGTCGTGAAAACATTTGTATTTATTGCTTAGTTGGGAAAGCATGTTGTGGATTTGAACATATGTTTTAAAAAATATTGGCCAATGTGATTAGGGCAATATGTGATTTGTGCATTTTTGTCTGTAGGAGTGGTATGATATACTTTGCTTTAGAATGTGTACTAAGTCACCCCGTTTTTTTTCTTCTCAGCTGGAGTCGAGATGGTCATAAGCTTGTGAGTGCTTCCACAGATAACATAGTGTCACAATGGGATGTTCTTTCAGGCGACTGCGACCAGAGGTTTCGATTCCCTTCACCCATTTTAAAAGTCCAGTATCATCCACGAGATCAGTATGTTTAATCTGAGCTGTTCTTTCCTGGGGTGGGATCTAACTCCATATGGATTAGCTCCAGGCTCTTACAGTGTCAGATTAAGGTTTTAGGAGGCAGATACACCTCTCTTTAAACCTTCAACATACAGAGGCTTTCTGTCTAGGTTGGCTCAACTGAATAGATTTTAAGGAGAATATTATATAATTAAAAGCTTCCCCAAATTAGGACTTTGGAAATGGGCAAAGGTAGGAATAAGTATAATAACTAGTTCTTGACCTGTCCCTTCCCCCATTATTTGAATTTTTTAGTAGGGGAAATTATTTAGTATTAAAACTGCATTTAAGAGTTATCCATCATTCCATTGCCCAGACATAATTGTCTGCATTTTTCTGGGTTCTCTTTTAATCAAGTACTCTTTATGTATAAAGGTTGTTATATAGTGCTTCATAATTCACTATATGCATGTTAATGTACATAAATTTTATTTTTTACACTGCTTTAATTAGTATTTTGCTTTTTTTCACTTTATTCATATTTTACTAGTCTACTACATTTCTATTTTTAGTGATTACTTTATATTTTGTGAAGGTACAGTAGGATTCAATAACTTTACTCAGTCATATCTCTATTAGACATTTAGATTTTAGGGTTTTTTCCCCTATATTCATTTTGCTGGGGCTGGAAAGTTGGTAAGGGTAGTATATAGGGATCAGGGAGAATGGCAGGGGAATCCGTCTACTGATACCAAAGCAATAGCCAATGTACTATTCGTATTTTTAAACAGGAACAAGGTTCTCGTGTGTCCCATGAAATCTGCTCCTGTCATGTTGACCCTTTCAGATTCCAAACATGTTGTTCTGCCGGTAGATGATGATTCCGACTTGAACGTGGTTGCCTCTTTTGATAGGCGAGGGGAATATATCTATACAGGAAATGCAAAAGGCAAGGTAAGCCGAGAAGCCAGTTAAACACGCCTTAGTCATCCTGTGCTTTGGTTTATTTTATGTGGACTCTGCTACTTCCTTTGAAATTTCTTTTATCCCCACAGTAAGCATGCGTCCTGACTATGGCAGATGTAGCCTGTTTTTCCCTCATGCTTAATAATTTCTGTCCTTTGGATTTAGAGTGGGCAGAGGTTATGTGGCCTAGAAACCATGGAAGGGCCTTTGCTGGATGCTGCTAATGAAGAGCCATTACTGAGTTATAAAATCGAAGAGTCATTATAAAATGAAATACTGCTGATGAATATACATAGTTCAGTAAATACTGTATAATTCAGGCCAGTTTAACCTGTAGTTTTGCAGAGTAAAGAGTCAGGTTAGGTGAACATTAAGGTCTCTTTTAAATTTAGAGTTTATAGTTTCATTTTTTAAATTTTTAAAATTTAAAAATTTTTTTGATTGGGGCGCATGGACTGGTATAATTTTATGGCTACTTTAGAAATGACAGTTTTTAAAATTCATAGTAAAAACATATAAAGTACATATAACATTTACCATCTTAACTGTTAAGCGTATACAGTTCATTGGTGCGAAGTACATTCACAATGTTAAGCAGCCATCAGTCACCATTGTCCATCTCTCAAACTCTTTTCATCTTGCAAAACATTAAATAATGACTCCTTATTCCCTGCTTTCCCTGGCCCCCACCCCAGGCAGCTATTGTTCTGCTCTACGTCTCTATGAATTTGGTTACTCTAGGTACTTTCTATAAGTAGATTCATACAGTATTTGTCTTTTTGGCTCATTTCATTTAGTGTAATGGCCTTAAGATTCATCCATGCTCAGCATGTGCCAGACTTTCCCTTCTTTTCAAGGCTGAGTAATATTCCACTGTATGTGTGGACTACATTTTGTTTATTCGTGCATCTGTTTTGATTGTGAATAACATTAAACATTATATGTTAAGAATAGACAGTCCTTTATTTATAGAGGTAAAACGCAATACCAGTTAATCAGGCCAAATACATGGGAATAAACTGTTTCTATTTTCCTAGTTTTTGTCTAGTTTTAGAAACAGAAGCCAGATCTAATTATTGTAAGTTATCAGAATACTTACTTTTTACTTTTTCTTTTTTTAACTCTAGATTTTGGTCCTAAAAACAGATTCTCAGGATCTTGTTGCTTCCTTCAGAGTAACAACTGGAACAAGCAATACCACAGCCATTAAGTCCATAGAGTTTGCCCGGAAGGGGAGGTGAGGCCTTGTCTTTTTAGGGGCAGTTTTAAAATTGAGTGGGATATGAAATACCATTAAGATCCACAGTTTTTGCGTGTATTATACTTCAAAGGTTTTTAAAGTTTACTTAAAAATAGTTATTAGAAACTGTCACTATCTGGTTCTTCAGTTCATAAAATTCACCCCGTTGAACCAGCATCCCCATCTTCTGTGACTGGAGATTACTGGGCGGCTCCTTTATGGAGAAGAGTGACGCGCGCTGACAGCCAGACGCCTGCCACACAGTTAGCCTGGGTAAAGATTAGCTGTTTTCATTGGAGTTGATGTCGCAGAATTCATGCAGTAACTGAAGATATACTTTACTCACATAAAACCTGATTATCCCTTTAATTACAAGTGTTTTTCTGGTAAGTTTGGTTACCCAACTAGAAGTAGATATATCAACAGAAACTAGAAGAAATAGGTTATCAGTAAAAGAGTCACCCTGTTTCATACAGGAACAACACCCTTACGTGCTTAGGGGGCATTCATGTTCAAAATCCTCTTAAGAAAAGGTTAGTTACCTGGCTGGTATAGCTCAGTGGGTTGAGCGCGGGCCTGTGAACCAGAGTATCGCGGTTCGATTCCCAGTCAGGGCACATGCCTGGGTTGCAGGCCAGTTCCCAGTGGGGGACACACAAGAGGCAACCATACACTGGTATTTCTCTCCCTCTCTCCTTCCTTTCCCCTCTAAAGATAAATAAATAAAATCTTTAAAAAAAAAAAAAAAGAAAAGGTTAGGTAGTGAAGTCTGGAAGAAGGCATGAAATAACATTTTAATAGACTTCTAATGTTATTATTTCACTTTTTAAATTGAAATGGTTTATGAACTCATTTAAAAGACTATATTATATATAAAACAAGGCCATAGAAATGAAGTATTTATGTACATTTAACTGTATCCTTCTGAGTTCAGGAGCTGGTTTCAATTTACAGGTCTTGGATCTCAGTCGAATACTGATGAGTAGTTTGTTTGCACATACCAAATTCAAGGACACACAGGAAGTATATAACACACTCTCACTTCAAAGTACATTTTGGTGTGAGAGGTGACAAGTACTCGAGTTCATTACTTAGATCTTTCCTCAGTCTCTCCCCAGCTTATTAGTTGTTTATGGTACTGTTCTGAGTAACAGCCTATAATGGAAAATGTTAATGGAAACAGATTCCCGAACTCTGGTGCTGACATTTTTTTCCTTTCTGTAGTTGCTTTTTAATTAACACAGCGGATCGAATAATCAGAGTTTACGATGGCCGAGAAATCTTAACCTGTGGAAGAGATGGAGAGCCGGAGCCTATGCAGAAATTACAGGACTTGGTAAATAGGTATGTATCACAGCCTGGAAGAATATGTGATAATTCATGACCTGGGCTCTGGCTCTAGTTTGCCATGGGTGCTTCCTCTGTCCTTTAGGACCCCGTGGAAGAAATGCTGTTTCTCTGGGGATGGAGAATACATAGTGGCGGGTTCGGCCCGGCAGCATGCCCTGTACATCTGGGAGAAGAGCATAGGCAACCTGGTGAAGATTCTCCACGGGACAAGAGGAGAGCTCCTGCTGGACGTGGCTGTGAGTAGCGCGAGAGGTTGCTGTTGTTACTTAGGCAATACAGAAGAATCTTGGGTTCGTTCTAGGAACTGATTGTTCTTTCCTTCATCAAATTTAGTGGCATCCTGTTCGACCCATCATAGCTTCCATTTCTAGTGGAGTGGTATCTATCTGGGCGCAAAATCAAGTAGTAAGTATTCGGTTTAATTGCTTTGAAACCAGAAACTCTCCCTTTTTTCAGAGAATTTTACAAATAGTAAGCTAAAAATTACCTTTTTTCACTTTTTTTGCATATGATTCTTCTAATTAAATAGGTTCAGTGCATCTAGCTTTGGTTTATTTTGACAGGATGGTCTCGGACCATAGCCATTTTACAGTGGGCTTTGTTACATTTTTCTGCTTCTTATCTGAGAAAGATTGTTATTTTGCTTTTCTTATTTTCAGCTCAGTTTATATTTTACATCTTGATTTTATTTTGAACACTAATTATATTCATAATCGGTGTACTTGTGAAAATCAGTCAGATATGTAAAAGATTTGAAGATATAGTACCCTGGAATTTCCTTCACTTATTGCACTTTTTGGATTACAAACAGTATTTGTTAACCCCTTGGAGAATGGTTAATTAGCAGCCCGGAAAGTGTGGAGAACTCTGACCATTCTGCCATTGCTGCCCTTTGGGGCAGCACCGAGAAAGTCTGGGGTGGACGCTGGGTTCGGGGTTATCGCCTCAATGAAGAAGAGTAAGTTGGAGTTGCTTTTACCTCAGTTATTTCTTAAAACAGTCAAAGATGGCAGTTTTTTTTTGAAAGAACTAGAGTTAATAATAACTTGGGATGTTTAAGATAGAAATATCTTAATATAGAAAAACTTGTAGATAACTCATTATTATTATCCACCAAATTTGATCTCAGACTTCTAAGTAGCTTTCATGTTCATGTCTGTCTTTCTATCATTAATGTCTGGGTTACCGACTGTTGCTTTCTTAAATGGTTATGTAGTACATTTTGTTTGTGGTGTAGGAAAATTGGAGTGCCTTTGCACCAGACTTCAAAGAATTGGATGAAAATGTAGAATATGAGGAAAGGGAGTCAGAGTTCGATATTGAAGACGAGGACAAGAGTGAGCCGGAGCAGACAGGTAATGTTGCTCAATGCGGACAGTATTTCCCGACGGACAAATGGTTGTTTTATTCATTCTTAATTTGTGTTGAAAATTTATTTCATCACTTAGTCTAAAATGTCAGTTTTTAAATCTTCTTTATTTTTAAGATTTTATTATTTTTAGAGAGAGGGGAAGGGAGGGAGGAAGAGAAGGAGAGAAACATCAGTGTGTGGTTGCTTCTCTCGCACTCCACTGGGGACCTGGCCCGCAACCCCAGCATGTGCCCTGACTGGGAATTGAACTGGAGACTCTGGTTCACAGGCCTCCGCTCAGTCCACTAAGTCACACCAGCCAGGGCTAATATGTCACTTTTTTAATTGACTAAGGGCTTACATGGGCATTATTACTAGGGTTCAACAGATCTTACAACATTTCACTTTGTATTTGCTGATGAACTACAGGTGATTAAGCGAGGATTTACCTGTAGCACTTAGCAAAGGTGCCACACAGGCTGGGTGCTCAGCTCTGTCGTGTGCTGTCACGTCTTTGTCAGTGAGGCGAAGGTAAAGAATGCGGGCTTTGGCGTTATACTGTCTTTGGGAAAATGCTTATTCTTTAAGCCTGGATGTCCTCATTTGTATAATAGTGGTTATAATAGAACCTTGCTTTTCAGGTTGTGGGGAATAAATGAGCTACTTCATCTGAAGCACTGGTATAGTGCCTAGGTATAACAGGCATTCTGTTCTGATCATGATCTTTGATATTTTTATCTCATTGATATTTTATCACAAGGAGACTCCTTGAGAATGAAGACTTGACTTTTTGCCTCCATGGTGTCTAACACAAGGCTTTGTATCTAGTAGTTTGTGTGTGTGATTGCTTAGTCTGCCCACTTAGCAATGTCAGTGAATGATTAATGCCACTGGTCACTTGGACGGTGCTGGGAATTAGGTCCCTCTTTTGTAATTCTAGATAACTCACACGCCCCCCGTGTTTTAGGAGGACCACCAGGGATACAGCATGTGCTGGACTGCGTTGGTATCATTGGATTATGTTCTGTGAAGCCTTCCCAAACTTGCACATAAGCTGTTCCTCCTTCCTATCTACTTAGCTCTTCTTGAACATAACTTTACTGTAGTACTTGTTGACTTGAAATGATCCGTTAATGTCTGTCTTCTCAGTTAGACTGTGATGCTTTTACTGAAGAACTGTTCCAGCTTTCTTAGTCATCACTGTGGGCCCAGTGTCTGTCTCGCACATGGTGGAAATTCAGCACACATTTGTTGAGGGACTAAGTAAAATGCACTGTTTTGTCTTCCTCCATTGTGTTCTGAATTGCAGTGTATAAAAATCACTGAGCTAGAAGTGAAAGCAATTTTGCACTTCGCACACCTCTGCCGTGTTTCTGTCCCACAGGGGCTGATGCTGCTGAGGATGAGGAGGTGGACGTCACCAGCGTGGATCCCATTGCTGCTTTCTGTAGCAGGTGAGCCCGTGTGAGGTCTGGGCCTCTGATGCCGCTCTTTTTCTCCTCCTGGCCTCTGGTGGTACACTTCTCAGCTCCCCGCCGCAGGCCCTTCAGTCCCATCTGCTTTATCGTCCCACAGATAGGTGCTTTGTTTGACAAGAAACCCCTTCCTTTCTCCCCTGACAGAAAATCTTAAACTGAAATAATTTATACCATTTAATTTTACTGCTGATTTTGTTAATTGTGTCATCTGCTTTTCTTTCATTCTTGTTGGCTTTCTTAAAGTTCTAGATCTATACATGTTGCTTATAGTTAATATAGGTGATTCTGTTCTAGAGGAAGGGCTGTTGTTTTAAGCAACTGTTTCCTCTTTTTTCCAATCCCTTGTCTGATCTTGTTCCAAATAGTGATGAAGAGCTGGAAGATTCAAAGGCTCTATTATATTTACCCATTGCCCCTGAGGTAGAAGACCCAGAAGAAAATCCTTATGGCCCCCCACCAGATGCAGTCCAAACCTCCTTGATGGACGAAGGTGCTAGTTCAGAGAAGAAGAGGCAGTCTTCAGCAGATGGGTCCCAGCCACCTAAGAAGAAACCCAAAACAACCAATATAGAACTTCAAGGAGTACCAAATGATGGTAAGAGCCGCATCTTCTCTCTGTTGCCCAGTAGACACCACTTTTTACTCTCTGGCACAATCTGGTAATTTCCTGTTTCTTTGATTTTACCTTTAAGGAATTTTCCCATGAGTTGTTTTTACAGTGCTTTACAACTTAGTGATTTCATGTGCTTTCACTTCCCTTCCAAAACGGGGAGACTCTGCCCTCGGTACTTTGCCTAAGATGACAACGCACTTGGAGTCTTCTGACATCTGGCTCAGAGTTTCTGTCATTATGCCACCATTCTCACCCCCCACCCCCAAGATTTAATTAGGTGGTAAAGTACTAGTCAGGCTTGGACAGTCTTTTTTTCCTCCCACCTACTTTTTATAGCCTGACCCTGGAAGCCTTTATAATCACGTGTTTGAGTCAGGATTCTTACTCTGGTCTCTCTAGTTTCCAAAGCCCATTTCCTTTCTCTTTTACGATGTCGTGGATGTGTGCATTCCTGTTCTGCCTTGGCGTGTATAGTTTCAGTGTGTCCTTCGGCTGCTCTTTCAGTTTAGAGCTGCTGTGGCTCCGTGCAGACCACGTAGCCAAGCAGCTATTTCGTAATGGCCATTCTTTCCATAGTTTCATAAATAATAAACAAAGCAAATTTCCTCCTTGTATTAGTAGGTCTGGGACGAAAGGGCAACATACTTTGCTCATGGACACGTGGCATGCCATGCGCTTAGTTGGGTGATGGGGCTGGTGGTGTCTGGATTCCTTTCCATGCCTATCTGTCCTTCTACAGAAGTCCATCCACTACTGGGTGTGAAGGGGGATGGCAAATCCAAGAAGAAGCAAGCAGGCCGGCCTAAAGGATCAAAAGGTAAAGAGAAAGATTCTCCATTTAAACCGAAACTCTACAAAGGGGACAGAGGTTTACCTCTGGAAGGATCAGCGAAGGGTAAAGTGCAGGCGGAACTCAGCCAGCCCTTGACAGGTAAGGACGCATTGGGAGCGCTGTCTGGCTTGCTTTGTGGCCTTGCTTTGTACAGCCCCTGACTCCATTTACCTGTAGCATTTTTTTCTTTCCTCCCTCCTTTTCCAAGTGGCAGATATTCTCTGAGTTTTAAGCTGCCAACAAGGGCAGGCTAAACCATATTGGCTAGATTTAGTGGCTTTTAACCCTGAGTCCCTAAATAGGTTTCAAGAAATCTACATTCCCCTTGATATTAGAAGCAGAATATTGTGTAAATATTTGTGTGGGAAAGATGCCTATACCTTTAAATAGAGTCCTGTTGGAATCCATTACCTGAAAAGGGATAACAGCCCCTGGTTTAATTCATTCCTCTGTTCGTGTTTGCTCCTAGATGTTTTGTTTTGCCTCAAATGAAAGAGCCATACAGATAATCAGAACTATAAGCTTGCTTTATACAGCCCCTGACTATTTAACTGTAGCATATCTTCTCTGTCTCTTCAAATTGTTCAAATCCCAGAGCTTTTTCTCTTTCCCACTAGTCTAGAAGAAATAATGATGTTGGTGGTAGTACCTTCATGATAAGAAGGAAGATGGAGGTGTTTTGTTTTTTTCAAACAGAAGGAGATAACCAAAAAAAGAGAAGCTGCGGTCTCTATGTAGCTCCTTAAAACCCAATCCTTTGAAATTTACTGAGCTTTCTGACTTTTATTTGTCAATGGATTTTTATTGGGAATGGGAGAATAATTTTAGTTTTTTATCAAAGATTTGTGAATGTAGGCAGATTCTATTTCTATTCCAACATTGTTGGGTTTTGGAAACTTTTTGTTATGTAGAAGCACTACTTTAGTTAATACTATACTCTCAATTTTTTGCAGTTAGGTCAGTAGACTTAAGAGGCCAGATTGATAAAATATGTGGTTGTATTTGGGTTTTTTCCCCTTTAAAATTTTAATGTAAGTGCATTGACCCAGATGTGACGATGCGGTCCACTGGGATGTGAAACAGGATTCCCTGTCTATACCTTCAGTCAGTTCCTCACTATGCAGGTAGATTCTACAGAGGAGCTGAAGCAGGCTCAGTCACTCATCATTTTGAGTATCCTGCTTCGGATTAGTTAGGCTTTGGTTTTTCACCGGCCCACACTGTGCCACTGAGCACCCATGTCTTCCAGCAGTGGTGTTTGTGGTGCCTCAGTGGTCATCGGCTGCCACCTCCACGTTTAGTCCATGTACCCCTCTGCCTTGGTGCATTTTTACACAGACTGAGAGTTCTCTGGGTATCACCAACAACGATTGCAGATTACTAGTTGACTCATTAAATAAAAATGATTCTTTCATAACCCATTTCTTGCACAAGCTAATGCAACTACAGAAGAAATACAGTTTAAAGTTTAAATAGATCTTCCTGGCTCAGATTGCTGAAATGCTTCAGGGTGATTTAAAATGTGGCCAGACATCATGAATTAATTGAAATATTCTACAACATAGTCTCCTAGTTTCTTCAAAAGCTTCTCTAATTAATCATTTGCTTTGTAATAGTAAATGTATGGTAAATAAACCATTTAAAGCTTTCAGCCCTGCCTGGTGTAGCTCAGTGGATTGAGTGCGGGCCTGCAAACCAAGGATTGCAGTTCGATTCCCAGTCAGGGCACATGCCCTGGGTTGCAGGCCAGTTCCCAGCAGGGGATGCACAAAGAGGCAACCATACATTGGTATTTCTCTCCGTCTCTTCTTCCCTTCACCTCTAAAGATAAATAAATAAAATCTTAAAAAGAAAAAAAAAAGCCATAACTCAAAAAAAAAAAGCTTTCAAAGCTCACATTTCTCTTTATATATTACAGAGATTTCAACTTTTAATTTTAGTTGATGTGGTCACTAATAGTAACTATCTCTGGCACTTGCCAAACTGGCTCTCTGTCAAGGGCACTGTGAGGTACCGTGAGGTTGTACAACCTAGAGCACAGCAGCCGTGCCATTTCTCAGCTGTGCTTCAGAAATGTCTGAAAGAGTCCGAATCAGCCCCGACTGGCATGGCTCAGTGGGTTAGGCATTGTCCCGCAGACCAGAAGGCCACCAGTTTGAGTCCTGGTCGGGGCACGTGCCTGGGTTGCAGGCCAGGTCCCTGGTTAGGGGTGTGCTGGAGGCAGCTGACTGATGTTTGTCTCTCTCTCTCTTCCTCCCTTTTCCTCTCTCTCAAAATAAGTAAAATCTTTCTTAAAAATTCAATTTGGGTGCTTGCTTCAGGAGCACATCTACTAAAATTGGAACGACACAGAAATTAGCATGGCCTCTGTGTGAGGATCTCATACCCCCCCCCCCAAAATCAGTGCAGTCTGAGGGTTACATTTGTAATGGTTAAGGTTTTGTAAGAGTTAAGGTTTTGTGGACCTTCCCTCCCCTGCGGTGCCCTAGTTCTGCATTAGAGCTGAATTGTTCGAAGGCAGGATTATAGGTGGAGGCTGTGTCATTGCTCCAGGTATCTAAGTGACAGCTGTGTCATTTCTTCAGTATCTGCAGTTGAGCAGTTGTTGAAGAAACTGCAGTAAGCCCTGACAAAGCTGCTATACTGTGTTTCATACCACAGCAGGACGTTATGCATTTCAAGGGAAAATTGGAAGACACATAGACAGACCACTATAGAAATAATCTGGCTATCTGGAATCTAGGGCTACAGAAGATTCTTTCCTATCAGACAGCTCATCAGTATTGGATAGCACCCGTGGACCAACACCCATCAAGACACACTTTCTGTAATGAGGGAGGATCCATCAGTGAAGCATGGTGAGGGTGACCCTGACCTTGGGACTTTTTGGAAAGGCCAGATCCACATGGCACCTATCAGGTTCCCCACCATTACCTTATTAGGTAGTCTCCAGAGGACAGTCCTCAGATCAGAAACTCGAGGTGTGAGCAGGACTACCAGCGGCTCGGTTGCCCTGTGACTGCTCGAGGATTGCCCAAGAACTAGAACTCTTTGGCAGGGAGCACACTCAGTAACCAGTGAGACAAAGTTGTGGTCGGTCAGCATACATGAGATGTGGGCATGAAGAGGCTGGTGTGCACTTGGGTCTCGCGGGGGCGGCAAAGACCAAAATGAGCAGAGACACCCCTTCTGGGGGTGGACAGGCACCGGAAAGATTTCCCTGCAGGCTTCCACTGTCCTGCTGCCGGTCCAAAGTACCTCCCGATTCTGTGATTGTTTTGAACGCTTGGTATTGAGGGTTTTTATTCCCCTCTTCTTCTCTTTTTAAAAAATGATCAGTCAAGACTAATTTATGACTTTCTGTTAAACTCAGTCAACCATTTGGATATTCTTTTTTGTTCTTTGTGATTTTATTAGCTGACCTAGGTAACATTTAAAGATTAGAATCTGGTGTTTTCTAAGGCCACCCTGGCTTGGACTGCTACTGGGAGGTGTCAGTAGCAGCTGCTCGTCCTGAGCCGTTATTGTAGATTGCCTTTCTGTTGCAACTCAATAACGTGTGTCCTGGTGTGTCCTGCGGGCAGTAGACCGGCCCCGAGGCCTTCTGTCGTGCTGCTGTTTCTGTTTGTTTTGTTTTTTCTGTTGTGATTTAGGCTTAAAATGTCAATGTTGTATTCATTTTTAAACCATTAAAACGAGATTGTTTAGGGTACCTGAGAGGACAGTCAGCAAAACTAACCTTAAACTGTTAAAGGCATGATTGTTCTGTGGTATAGATTCTTCTAGATCAATATTTTAAAAACATAAACTAAAGAGGTTAATTATTATGTTTTTTGTTGAGAGAGATCTGCATTACAGGTGTTTAATAAACTTTTTATCTCGCTGAACTACATAAAGTTTAAATTTGATTTTTGACAGTATAGCATCCATGAGAGTTTGTGATTTCAGTCTTATTCTCAGGCAAATGGGAATATATTTTTATTGCCATTTTTCATTTTTGCTTTAATTTTTACTTTAAAAATCAGATTAAAAGCAAAGTTTATAAATGGGTATTTTTCTTTTATAACTTGAGTGATTATTTTTTAACCATTCTACCTTCCAATGGCATGCTCTCGTCCACTCCCGATGACATCTAGGAGCATTTTCTTCACCTTGTTCTCTGTTTACACTTCCCAGTTAATAGTTCACAGCAGCCCATCTAAGGATGCCCATCAGAGGTTGAACAGCTTCTATGGAATGATCAGGAAAGTGTTCATTTGATTTTACTATTGAGGATTTTATTTATTGGTCAGTTGTTGGCGTATAGAAATACCAACACTAGTTTTCATTAACATTTCATCATACGTGGAATTCCGGAGCGATGAGAATGTCACCGAAGGAACAGGGGTATTTGGAAAGGGGTCGTTCCTCACTGTTACTCATTTAGGGACCAAGCGGTCTAATACGTGAGAGATGTGATATGTAATGCCTTAGAATTAATTCTTTTTACCTGCTGCAAAATTTGTTAACACCTTGGAGAATGGCTAATTAGCCTAGAGAATGTGTGGAACTCATCCTTTCACCATTTTTGCCCTTTGGGGCAGTACTGAGAAAGTACGGGGTGGAGGTTTGGGTTTGGGGTTATGCTTCAATGAAGAAGAGTAACTGGGAGTGGGAGTTGGTTTTAACTTAGAGGGGGAATTCTTAGCCCATGTGTGCTTGTCATGCATCATCCAGCATCTGTCAGTATTTCTGCTCTGCTCAGCAGCTGGTTTAGTTGATATTAACGGAAATCTCTTTGTGTCTGATCTCTTTAGCAGGGGGAGCAATCTCTGAACTGTTATGAAGATCCTTGAAGTGCTTCGCTTTTTCCCACTTTTCCATCATGTGGCTTCTGGACACTGTTCAGTCCTTGAAATTGACTTTAATTTAAAACAAATGCCTCTGCTTCACCCAGGAGGTGGAAGGAGTGAATTTTATGTTTGAATGAAGAAGTGAATTATGAAAGAAGAATATACGTCCCTTCCCTTTCAAGCATAAGTCCAAATAGGTGCTCAGGAACGAGGATTTGTGAAGATATCAAATGGGAGTTTGACTCATTTAAACGTTAATACTGAGTTATGTTGCTGGAGAAATGATACCTGTTCTGCTCATCCAGTTTGATCGTACCCAGCATCGTTCTGACCTGTCACTTCCTTTCTCCTATCTGCCTTCTGTCCTCGGTGCATGCCCTTGAATAATTTGTTCGGATCAGAAAGTCTGCTACCAATATCTTTGGAAAACTTCTGTTGCATATTTCTCCATTTTGAAATGTACCCTCTCACCAGATACCTCCTATATTTCCATATTGTATACAAAGGATGTGTAAAAAGAAAGTGCTTGAAACATCTGAAATTTTTAGAAAGGAAAGAAAAACGAGAAAGTCCCCCCTTCCTAATGCACCCCTTGTGCTCAGGCTGGGCCATAGAGGGGTTTTGTTTTCCTTTCACTTCATGCTTCCCTCCAGCGTTGGTTCATTCTCATCAATCATGGGTTTTTGAAGGTGGCTAGATTTGTCCATCGCCAGCAAACAATCATCAGTAGTTCATCAGTAGTTCGTATTGCTTTACTTGTGCTGGCCTCCACGGATGAAACCAACCAAGCTGTCTCAGCAAGCTTCTTGCGGGTGGGGGTGGGGATTCTATGCAAGGACTGACGTAAAGTCGTTCACAATCAAAGCAACAGCAACAGTTCAAATCACAGATGAAGGAACAAATTCTTTTTGTCATTGCTCGTGGGTATCGGTCCTTCTATCAGTCATCTCATTTCCCCTTCTCATGTCCATGCTCCTCTTCCTTATGACATGTTTCCGTCACGTCCTTTCTGTGAAAGGTTGCTTAGCTTTTAAAATTTTTTTTTACATTTTGCTTTTGCTATTCTTTTATATAAAAAAAATAGATTGGATAGATGTGTACATTAGGTGTTTGAAATTCTCTGAAAATCCAGCGTAAGGAAACCAGGTGTGGGGAGGGCTCACTAGTTGTCTGAGGAGAGCTTTAGCTGACCAGAACTTAACCTGGCTCATCCTTTTCAGTGTTTTCAGAGGAGAGTTTGAACACTGCTTACCGAGAAATCTCTATCAGCTGGTGGGTGCTCCTGTAGGTAGCCGAACAATTGATTGCCTTTTGGATTTTAGGATAGAAATCAAAGTAGAACACATCAGTAAGAGCCTCTTTCTCCTCTTTCTTCCATCTTTTAGAACAAACTATTCAGTAATCAGAGAACTCTTCTTGAGTCTGTTGTAACATATGTATATTTTTAGATGCCACTACTTTTTTCTCAAATGCTTGTTCTGTGAATTTTCCTTCATATTCCATCTCACACGAGTGGTTGAGGTCAGTAGGTGGCTCACTAACATTTTCGTTTGCAAACCTCACTCCCATCCATGTCTCTGCCGTAACGCTGCTGTAGTGTGCAAACTGTGATACAGAGGTTCCTGGCAGTGGCTTCTGATAATTATTTATGCCTTTAGAATACCTTTCAGCTCATTAAACCTCAGTCCATTTCAGTTTGCTTTTCTCAATGTGTACAATACAAGCATATTCTCCTCCCTCTCGTCATCTCCCCCTTTTGTTTTTTAATGTTCTGTAGTTTTGTACAAGACAAGACTTAGCCTTGGTATTGCTGAAGCTTTAATGCTTTGTCAATAAAATCAGGTGTTTATTAAAGAACAGGTGTAGATGCTTGTTTGTAGGCACTGATCACTTCCTAAACTCACTGCACTTTGCTTGGTAGGACAGAAAAGGCAGCTTCTGTGCTGATACAAGATCTTCTCTGTGGACACACAGAGCTGGGAGGGGTGAGGGATGGTCAGGTTGTTCAGGTTTCTGCCTCTGGATGTTATAAACAATTCAAACAAAAGGTGGGAAATTGAAAAGATTAGGAATGATCTCTCTTCAAATTTTTACATTCAATGTAAGTATGTATAACTGCTCTGTAGAGGCCTCGTGCCAGGAGGTGTTCTGGAGGTTATGAAAGACAAGCAGAGCTTCCTGCCTTCAAGGAGCGTTCTTAACCCGTAAGTACAGTTAAATTCCTCGTTGCTGGCCTTTTCCACCCAGTAGATTAAATTATTTTTAGAACCCATTGAATATTTACTGTCTCTTAAACAATGTTTCATAAGATATACTTAAGTCTTTGCTTTTCATTATCAAATCTGAGTGTTTCTGTATTAATCTTTTCTATTATGTGACTGAGAATCTGTCTTTGACATCATAGCTGTTTCATAGCAACACTGGTGTGGGGGAAAGAATAAGATTCCTCTATTCTATAGAGTAAAGGGGATAGGCCAGGCCGAGAGACAGGGACAGTTAGGCATCCTCTCCTGAAAATTTCTTTGGTGCCTTTGGGAGGGAAAAGTGCCTAGAAGATTGAGAAGAGCTGCATTTAATACAGCCTACCTTGCTGATTAACATTTGGATTCTAAAAGGGCTTGAGGCCCTTGTCTTCATGAATTTTCACTTCTATTTGAAATTCCTTTCACACGAACAGTATTTCACACTTTCCAAAGTATTTTTTGTGCACTGTCATTTGAAGGTTTTCATTTACAAAGGAGGAATTAGAAATAGAACATTTAGGAAGAAGTCATTTACCTTCCAGTCCAGAGTTTCTTAATCCTTTTTGTAGAAGGTTTGGGAGCATTGAGAGTCAGTAACTTAATTCAGGTTAATCCTCCTTCTCTAAGACTCGTTATTTGATTTCTTATTTGTCAGATTTAACTGGGATTTTGAAACCCTTTAAATTAGATTCCACAATCTGGCGGGTGGGGAAAGAGTGAGGAAAAGTCTATCTTCAGTACATTTGAGGTAATTTGGTAATTCACTTCCGCTTCTAAAGTCTCCATCTTTCTGTTCCCAAGAGGTGCATTTAAATTCAGTAAAAGGATGTGGAAAGAATGAAGACCCGTAAGGTGGTCATTAACTAGCAGAGGTGGGAAAGCAGCAACACTGGGGCTTTTTCCCCTGCCCTGTGGCCTCGCCTGGTAACGAGGATTGGACTGTGTTTTGTTAAGTGGCAGTGTTTCATTGGTGATGCAAGCATCATATCTTTTGATTGTGAAGGATATCTCATGTCGGAGGAATTGAGTTACACTATCGTAGAGGATGCAACTGGAATATTTTGGGGTGTTGGCTGAGGGTGGTGAAATGTCACTGAGACATGAAGACTCTGGTCATTAGTTTTATCCTGGGAAGTCTGGTGTTGGCCCTCTGTCTGCCTTTGGAGGTGACTTTACCTAAAACACTGGCCATCCCTAAGAAGCTACAAGAAGCCGTGGGGAAAGTTATTGTAAATGCCACAACCTGTACTGTCACCTGTGGCCTTGGCTACAAGGAGGAGACCATCTGTGAGGTGGGCCCGGATGGAGTGAGGAGGAAGTGTACATCTCAGCGCTTGGAGTGTCTGACCAACTGGATCTGCGGGATGCTCCACTTCACCGTCCTCACGGGAAGGGAGTTTGAGCTGAGCTGCCTGAGTCCAGACATCCTGGAGATCGGGCGGGAAGCTTTCCGCTTCACCTGGAGACTCGCTCGGGGCATCATCTCGACTGATGATGAAGTCTTCAAGCCCTTCCGTGGCAGTTCCCATTTTGTGAAGTTTGACTCCGTCCAGGAGTATGACTCTGGGACCTACCGGTGTGATGTGCAGCTGCTAAAAAACTTGAGACTTGTCAAGAGGCTCTATTTTGGGCTGAGGGTCCTTCCCCGTAACTGGGTGAACCTGAATTTTCATCAGTCCCTTACTGAGGATCAGAAGTTAGTAAATGAAGGCCTGGAAGTGAATCTGGGTAACCATTCCAGCCCTCACCGTCCACCATGGAGAAAGAAGGTGGCTATAACCTTGGGAATAGGAGTTGCTAGTGGAGTGATGGGCGGTGTGGTGGTGAGCATTGTCTTGTGCAGGAGGCTGAGGGTGACCAGTAGCAACGCCAGCCTGAAGACCTAACAGGCCTTGCTCTTGAAGGGCTGGCTGCCTGATTGTGGATCAGCTAAGAGGGAGGGCTTCCAGGGCCAAAAGAGCGAGTAGGAGATGTGGAGAAGGGGCTATATCATGGTAGGTATGGGCAGTGATCCCTAACTTCTTGTGTCCAAGATGGATCCTTTCCTGGACTTCCCTGCCCACTAGATACCCAGGGGACATGCCTGCAGGCACCTCCGCTACTGCCAGGGAGACTTGTGTCTTCTGAGCCTGCGTCCGTGTTCTGGGCTTCACAGCTTGTACGCCTCCCCACCTCTCCCTCCCTTCTGAGACGCATGCTCACATAGACGGGTATATTCATGATAGCTTTTCTGGTGAAAACATTTTTTTCCCTCTTCAATAAAAATGAGAGTGACCATATGGAGACCTAATCTTTTCTATTCTTTAGTTAAAAAATTCTGGAATTTGTTTAAATTGTCCCATAATAGGTCTGGCTTTTGTTTTCCTCAAGTTTCTTAGAGTTTGAACAAACTGCGTTGTATGGGACATAGGCCCGTGTGTGCCAGAGTGGAGGCTGGCACTGACACTTCCCCTCCCCACACCCCCAGGCGAACCCTCTGGGTTCCGTGTTACATTGATTTCTAGCAAAACACTGGAGTTTTCATCTGCTAGGTTTCCCCTGAAAAGTTCTTGGCTTGCTCCCTGCTTTTCTCTGGGCTTTGTTGGTACCCCGAAGGTCAAGTGTTACCAGTTTCTTACAGTAGCCAAGATGCCTGAAGGGAGGACTAGTACCTTCCTCTATGGGAAATCTAATCTTAAGACCCTCAGAGGCCACTCAGACTGTGTCTTAGATCATTGGCTTGTGCAACTGTCAGGGGAAAGGCTCTTGGCCACCAGCCAAGCTAATTCTGAGAGAATTACAGCACTTCTTTCCCTCACTTTTCTCTGTCTCCTGAGGAGGCAGTAGAATCCAAGACTTGGACCATTGGTTCTCTTCTCCAGCTGTGTCTGACCCACTTGGATGAGCTTGTGAAATACAAGATTCCTGACCCCAACCCCAAGGACGCTAATTCAGTTTCAATTATGGCCAATGGATTTCTATGATTTCCTCTACTTTTAATTTTTAAAAATGTCAAGCCCATAGAAAAATCGAAAGAAAGGTTTGGTGGCACCCATAGACCTTTACCTAGAATCATCAACTTTGAACATTTTGCTACAATTATCTTTCTAAATGATATCGGTTTTACTGAGCTGATAGAATGCCAGTCACAGACATTGTGACCCTTTAGTCCTAAGTCATGTGCGCACCTCCCAGTAAGGGCGTTGTCCTGCGTAACTGCAGTATCTTCATCACATCGAAGAAAACAAACCATTCCCTGCTCTGACATGTGGTTGGTTTTTAAAATTTTCCTAAAATCTTAGAGGTTTTTAGTTTAATTCTTGATCCAGGATCAAATGCAGACAAACATGTTACATGCGGTTTTCTCTTGCACCCCATCCTTCAGCAGACCCCTGCTATCCGTGTTGTTCTCTGTGGTATTGATTACATTGAAGAGTCCAGCTAGGCCCGTTGCCTTGGGTGGTGTCCCACAATCCGGATTTGTCATTGTTCCCTAATAATTAGGTTTTGAGGAGTAAATCCTAAACGTTTTGACAAGAGCCATGTATGTCAGCAATGGTATGTGCTTATTGCAGCATTTCAGGAGGCACCTGGTATCAGGGTGACCCGCTAGTGATGACCTCCTTCCAAAGCTGTGTGTACTTTTTCTGTTTGTACTTAGTCTGTGGGGTGAAAGGCACAGACGTTCTGGAATCCATTTGTGATCCTTGCCTTGTTGCAACACGCTGGGGAGGGCAGCGTGGTGATTCCCGAAATCGTCATTTCTGTGTAATTAACTGCGGGTCTCTGTGGAGAAGAGGCACTCTTTATTTTTGGGGTTTCAATGACTTCTCTTTCTTACTCAGAGAATTATATATAATCCATTAATGTTGTCATATTTTTGATGTTCAGATTGCCCCCAGTTTTGGCCATTGGGAGTCCCTTCAAGTTAGCTCTTTTATCCTTTCAATGTGACCACATTTGACTTTGAGTTTGACCTCGCTTGCTAGTACAACAGGGTGTCTTGGGGCCGCCCTTGGACTTTCCTTACTCCAAACCTGAACCTACTGCCTCCAGGGAGCCCTGGCTCCTTGTGGTGTGGGAAGCAGCACCGAAAACCCCAGGCCTGGGGGCTTAGATGGGCTCATTGCCACTGGGGAGTCACCGCCTGGGCCCTTCCAGTGCCTTAGGTATGAATAAGATGGGAATAAGTCATGACTTCAAAGCACCTGTATTATGTAGAAGTTTTACAGGATATTCTGATTTATCGTGAAGATTGAGAGCCACCAGCCTAGACCCACACACAGGGAGTCTTTACTATTGGTCTTATTTTGGAAAGATCTTAATTTTCCACATGCCCTCCCCCCCCATTCTCTCTGCCTCAGAGGAAATGGGTTTCCAAAGACCTGGGTCCTGCCCTTGTCTGTGCCAGACCTGTGTCATGGAACAAGCTGCCTGACCCCTAGTGGTCCTCCTCTTAGAAATGCGTGTTTGTGAGGTTCAGATGAGATCCTGTGAGTGGAATGGAACTGCTTGGTAAGCCGTGAAGGACTGGACGTGAGCTAGGCCGAGTCATTACTGACACACATCAGTTCATTACGGGACAGCTTGCTGAAGCAGCCGGAAGAGAGCTTGCTATACTTGATCGTAAAACATCTTTGTAGGTAACTCAGTTTGCTGAGGAGGGAGGAGGACCGGGGCATGCGTTCACGTTTTACAGACGGAGAGATGGGACTTAAGTCACTTTCCCAGTAAGCCAGTGGTCTCACACGGATGGAGTGTGCTACGGCTCTAGGTTTATAGCCTCTGCATTGGACTTAGATTTTGACTCTGAGAGTGTGAAGGGATTGAATAGGGAAGAAAACAAAAGACTCGGGTGTGTTAGTAAATACCCAAAGCCAATTCAGTTAATTGAATTCTGTGCATGTAATCTGCCTCTGAGGGTCAAAGAAATGCTGACTGGACTAAAATCTGGATTCTAGAGTGGCCAGTGGTCCAAGTAGCCCCTTGGTGCAAAGTGGAAGGGTTGAGCCTGCTGTATTGCCATCCATGCTGGCCTCTTCTGGGGGCTCACTGTCAGCCTGGGCTGCTGCTGACCAGGCCCTGGGCACAGGGCTAAGCAGCGAGTGGTGGAGCCTCTGCCTGCTTTGGTCTCCCTCTTCCCTGAAAAGGGCCCTGGGCACAGTCAGCATGGAGCCAGCCTGCCTGCTTGGCGTGGAACTAATGGAAGGCTTGTAGTGCTGCTCAGGTGTATCACTGCATGGGTCTGAGTAACGGGCACTTGGTAGGCATTTGTTGAATGCATGAGAGGCTGTTGTAGCCAGAAACTGCCTAGGAATTCAGCTTCTTTGGCTGCTGTGAGCAGACACTAGAGGCCTGTAGAGTCTCCAGGTGGCGGCCACTTCATCTCGGCAGGGAGAAGACTTACTTCCCTTGAGTGCAGTTGGGTCAATACAACATCTTAAATATCAGTGCGCCTTGTAGGAGCACCATCCCATGAGCGCCGTTTACTGCCCATGGTGTCAGGTAAAGCCGGCCCAGCCTAGCGAAATGCCTGCTTGTGCACTGCCTGGGCCTGCCTTAGACTCCCCTTGGGCTAATTTCACCCCCTGCCAGGTCTGAATGAAGCAATATGGACTGTATGTTGTGACTTCCATAGAACTGACAGGGTGAAGGGTGAAGTTACCGGATGTGAGCCTGGGGTCAGGGAACAGGATGAGGAGGTTGCTTTAGCCTGATGATAAAAACAGCCACAGCTGGTGCCAGCTCCCTCTGCAGGTTGAGAAACCATCTTTATTTAAGAACTGCCCGCTACCAGCGTCAGTAACTATCACCACAATAAATACGAGAGACAGACAACAGGCCAGCAGGAATGGTTCCATTTGGACAAAAAATGAGTCACGTCAGTGCCCGATGATGCCCTGGGCCTTGCAGAGCCGGGAGCTTTAATAAGCTCTGCAGGCCCTGAATAGGCTGGGAACGTTGGGGTCCAGGGGCCAAGGCAGGAGACAGCCCAACTAGGAGCACTGGGTTTCCTGGGGCTCTCGGCAAGGCCTGATGCACCTTTTTGTCTCCAGTTTCCCTGTGTTCTCCCTTCCCAAAACCCATTTACATACACATACACAGCAACCAGGCATTCTTTCCATGGAGCTCTTTGAAGTCCCTTAAAAATGCCCATCTAATCCCTCACACCACTTCAGCAGCCCCTGGCCACCTCGTTTGTTCCCAGAACAGAGCCCAGGTTAGGCTGACCCAGGAAAATGGGGCACCACTCCTGGGCTTCAAGGCCAAGGTTGACACCGCTATCCCTGCGACAGAGGAGTCCAGTGGCAGTCATGTTCTGAGGCCAGGAGGAGAAGAGTCCTCTAGCCGAGGGAGGGATGCAGGGAGTACAGCATCCCTAGTCAGCTTGGGCTCTTGCTCAGGGCACAGACTGGGCGGTGCCTGGGGCTGCCGAGGGGCGGTGCGTGCTGTGAAAAGTGCCAGGGTGCGGCTTGTCCCTCAGTGACTGTGACGGCACTGCAGGGGCCACAGCGCACAGGCACTCCGAGTGAGACTCTTCCTGTGCTGAGCACCTTGTGGTTGTAAGCATCTCAGTCCTGGAAGGACACCCTGTGCCATCTCTCCACCCCTCCAGTCCTCACCTAACCTGGACTCCAGAGCAACGGCTGTCAAAATTCCTCACAGCTTCCTTAGGAAGTAGCTTGTTGCTCTTCCGGGGCTCGTTGCAGAGGTGTTTCTGTCTAACCTCGGTCTCATTTTATCAGAAGAAAAGCATCCCCCGCCCTTTACCACAGGGCCCTTCTGTTCCCTGGCACCGTCTGTATCATTTGAGGCACGTAGTCAACCTGACCTTGCTGGGCCCAGTCCTCTATCCAGAGAGAGCTGCCCTCCCTGAGGACAAGGTGTACATGGAATCAGAGCAGTGAGGACCAGACAGCCAAGGTCATGGTGAGGAGCCCTGCAGACTTAGCTCATGTGTACAGAACAGAGAAACTCGCCCAGCGCCCTGCAGTGGTGTCTGCAGGCTCTCTCTGTCTCTAGTCCCCAAGGCACTTAACTGGCCACTAAACTGGGGTAAAGGACTTGTTCGTGGCTGTCCCTCTTGCTGCCTCTCTGGAGCCTGGAATGAGAGAGGAGAGACCCAGAATCGAGTCATGACTTGGGGCACAGCAGGGGTGAGCCCCCTCAACTGCCCGAGCCCTTCCAAGCAAAGAGGACGATCAGAGGCCCCTTGGGCAGGAAGGAAATCTGAGAAACCATCTAATCTCTTCTGCCTACAGCAAGCTCCTGCACAGGCACCCCAACAAGAGGCTGTTAACAATCAACAAGCCTGCATGTCCTCAGGTCACCTACTGCTTTACCAAACCTGAGCTCTACCTGAAATCCCAGGCTGCCAGACATGGCTTTAGTTTAGTTCTGCTCCACCCCCCACCCCCCCCAGCAGCCACCCCTGCACAGTGGCTGGGTTTCCTTGGGGCCGAGTTTTCTTAGTTGGCATCCCTCCTCAGCTTCCCAGCAGGCCTGTCTTCCTTTTGCTAATGGGCCTCCTTAGAACCAAGACACTTGCTTGTGTCTTTGACTCAAGCAAGCTTAGAGACTGCGGCCCCCAGCTGCATTGGTCCAGACTGTGCCAAGCCCGCACAGATACCTGTCCCCTGCTCTCCCCGCGCTGGCCTGAGGCAGTGAGGACAGAACCAGCTAAACCTTGGAGGAGACTTTCTTTCTTTGGGCATCCCCTTTTCTGATGGAGCTGGGCATGGCCAAACCACAGCCACGGAGGTCAACATGGATGCTAGACTGAGTTTGGGGTCCCTGCCATGGAACGGTCGCATAGCTGAGCCCCCAGCTCCTTGCATGGGGGGTGGATGGGAGCAGGCGAGGAGGGCCAGGTCTGATGTCCCGGGCTGGCGGGGCCGGGGACGGTGCAGGGGCGGTGCAGCGGCGGTGGGGAGAAGAGGTGTGAGCTTACATTTCTAAAAAACTGTAGTGGGTAAAAACATCAACATAAACCTGCCCAGGAAAATAGAGCAGGGCTTAAAAGTTTAAAAAACCATAGCAAAATAGAGCTCTAACTATAAACTACAGAAATCAGGCTTAGGGGGCCTGTCCCCTGCAGGATACCTGTCCTGCTTCTCCCGAATGTTAAGGGCCACCTGTCAGAGCACAGGTTGTGTTGCCACTACTGCCTGGATTTGGGGGTCCCTGTCCTTGCTGTGGCCTCTTCTCGGAGCAAAGGTAAGGGGGGTGGGGGCTCAAGCCAGCACTGCGTATTGAGATCCTAGCAGAAGCCGGGCCCGGAAGGCACAGAAGGACCGATGTCTGCTATAGTCTACCCGCACCTTGGGCTGGGCCCCAGCCAGGCCATTTAACCCCATGATCACCCACCAGAACCTCTTGGAGCAGAGTTTTCATAGCCCGCCCTCCTTCTTAACCACCACATTAGCCAGGCCCTGGCCTTTCAGCACTGTTCCTCCTCTGGGTAAATGAGGAGACTAGAGACTCCAGTCCTCATCGGAGCCCCGTCACTGTCACACTATGTGTGTGACCTTGGGAAGTTCAAGCTCAGTTTCTCCATCTGTGAAGTGAGAGGCTTGATAAGGTGAGCCCTAAAGCCTCTTCCAGCTCTGATGTTCTGACTGGTAATATACCCAGAGCATTTATTAACCTCTTTTTCTTCTGGGGAAATGCAAAAGAGTGGTTTCAGGCATCCAGGGACAGGTCTGGCCAGGTGGTCCTGGGTGTTCCTGGGAGCAGGCAGGGCCACATTGATCTGTCCTCAGAAGGCTCCTGACTCCACGACACATGGAATTGATGCCATTTACTCTTTCAGGCACGTGGGGGCTGTGCTGGGAGAGCAGAGTCCTGGGGCCTGCAGGCCGGGCTGGAGGAGGAGGGCGGCACATGCCCCCGTCTCAGGTCTCCTGCCTGATCCCTGGAGGGACTGTTCAGGATGGGTCTTGGTGGGGAGGGGCCTCCCCAAGATAAGCCCTTTAGTCACCCAGCCACCTGTAGTGGCCTCTGTCACTCAGGGGTGACAGGGTCGGGTTGGCAGTGTTGGCTAAGAGGGCACAGGAGGCCAAGTCTGGTGCCCCTCTCCCCCAGGTGTCCTGGCCTCTCAGCCCCAGAAGTCTGGAGTGCCACCCCCCAAAGCTGCAGGGCTGGGCTCCTTGGCCTCAGATATTGGGCACTGGTGCTTGGCCACCTGGCCAGGTGGCAAGAGCCTTCAGGGAGCCATGGAGGGCTGTGTCAGGGTCCAGCCACGTTGGCCCCTGAGAAAGTCAGTGAGTCCTCGGCCCCAGGGTCGGCTCTATCCTTAGGCTGGGGGATGTCTGCGTGTGTGCCTCGTCCCCCTTCAGCCCAGTCACACCCAGTGTTCCCGAGGGTCTGGGCCTCCGCTCTCAGGGGACAGAGTTCACATGCAGTACCTGGGTGCTGTCTCCACAGATGTGCAGCCTAGCAGGCCCAGGCCAGGGCTCGGTGCCATCACGGAAGCTACTGCCTGGTGCCTCTTGATTTAAAGAAAAAAATCCTCACGTGGGTTCTACCCTGTGGCAGAATATGACATACCTACCTCCTACAAAAAGGGCACTGTCTTAAAGGAGGTATTTAAAGCCAGCCATTCTCAGGCACAGTGTTGGGCCATCTTGGCATCAGGAAGGGACCGGGGCCAGCTGGCCGCGTCCATCAGAGGCGGGTGCCTGACCACGGTGGAGAGGGCAGGGTGCTGAGTCAGAGCTCCAGGCAGCCCATGAGGACCAGCATCGCCAGGGAGTGGGAGAGGATGGCACCAGAATGCGTGGCTGGGCAGACTGCTGAGTTTTCCACCATCATGCTGGTGCCTAAAAGCAAGGGACAGAAGTTGGGGGCTGGGTTGGCTGGGCCCTGCCCCACCCCACCCCCTCTCTGGATGAATCCAGACCTTTCCATGGGGGCTCACAGAGGGCAGGCTTTTCGGGATGCAGTGTGATCTTAGCCCCACTCCTATAGGACTTGTAGGACCTTGGCTTTGTGGTCCTAGCCTCCCCCTGAACCCCCTGAAAAGAGCACGCATTTCCCCAGCCTTCAGGGGTGCTGGGGTTGGGGGAGGGGGAGCAAGGGCAGGTGCAGGACTACCTTGCACTTGGCTCCTACTTGCTTTCCTCTTTCCCCTTGAGGGTCTGGCAGGACTGGAGTTGGCTTGAGTGTGAAAGATTCCCTCCCCAGGCATCTGAACGGGCCCTAATACTCCTGGGGGACTGGGGGGGCAGGCAGCACCTCCATTCCTCGAGATGTGGACTTGCGCAGGGGTCCCGTCCCCACCAGGCCCTGTGGTCCGGATCTGCACCAGGGCGTGGCCGTTGTCTCCGGGAACTGTGATTTCTATCCAGTTCTTGCTGGTGAAGTGGAGCGAGGCGGTCGCGTGTAAGTCATTCTGGTACAGCAGCTGTGGGAAGGTTAAGCCAGGTGCAGCTACTTAGCCAAGGCCGATGCCTCTCTCTTCCCCAGCTTCAGGCTCTGGGAGGAGTCCCTGTAGTTCCAGCCCCTGGAGCGCCCGCCTCCTCATACCTCCTGTTTCAGGTTGACCGGACCTGGCTCTTGAACAAGAGCCTCATGGCTGGAGAAAAGCTTGCAAGCAGCCATACTGTTTTGGCAGACCCCTTAGGCTAGGAGCACCCCCATTTCACCTAGTCCATCGCTGCCCCCGTGAGCCCCGCCTTTCTGCAGCCACACATACTGAGGCAGGACAGTAGGAAGCTAGGGAAATTCCTTGACAAGTGGAATAAGGGAAACTGAGACAAAAGAATTAAACAAGGCCAAACAAGTGGAACAATTTACAGGGAGTTAATGAATCCCCCCAGGTTTTGTCTTCCCTAAGGACAATAAGAAGCACATGGTTTACACATTCCCGTCCCTCTTTGACGATGTTCTTTAAAAGTGAAACTAACCAGAAAACAACCCTGACCCCTCTGTACACACATTTTAATGAATCAACATATTGAGGACACATCTGGAAAGCTAATGAACATTCTGTAAGGCCCTCCCCGAGACCTCCCCCAGGATTCCCAAAAGCCAAAGGAAGATAAAAAGCCTCAAGACAAAGGACCCAGCTCTGCTCTCTCCAGAGCACACCCACACCTTTCTCCCTTAGCAAGTATCTCTGCTCTTTTTCCTAAACTCAAGGGGTCCCCACAAGACTTGCAACCAGGTGAGCAGTGGACAGCAGCAACTCGTCTGGGGCTAATCCCCTGACCCTGTCTCCAAGGCCCCCTTTTCTGTGACTTCCCGGTGGGCTGACAGCAGCCCCACTTTGGCTCACCTCCGTGGCTGTGACTTTTGCCTCTCAGCGAGCTCATCAGCCCAGTGTGGTCCACTTCTTTCCTACAACGCTTCTAAAAGGTCAAAGCAGTCCGCCCAGGCTCTCTCCTGTCACTTCTTCTGTCCTAAGCCTTTCCTTCGTTTCACTGTCCCCAGCTTTTAAGAAACATACTCTCGAAGTCACCTGGACTGTGTTGTGAACTTGTCTGCACAAGGTCCAGAACCCACACTTTCTGGGCTGGCCAGAGGTGGATCCCTCAGGCCGGGTCCCGTCCAGTAACAGCACTGCCTGTCCCCTTTCTTATGGTCTCTACTGCCAGTTACCTGGAGAACCGTTCCCGCACCTCCTCACAGTCACAGACGCTTTGCCCGTGTCTACCTCAGGTTGCTCCTGCTAGAAACGGCAGCCGTCCTGTGTGCCCTGGGAATGCAGCTGGGCTGTTCCTCACCATTCGGTGCTGGGCCGATCCCTTCCTTACCTTATAGCCAGTGACGGCAGACTCATTTCGGAGAGGGACCACAGGGTCCCACTTAATACTAAGTCTGGAGCTCAAGAAAGTCCAGGAGATGTTGCCAGGAGGTCGCTGTGGAGCTGCCAGAGGAGGGAGGAAGTTGGGCGACTTCTGAATGTTTTCTTACCACCCCGCCCCCGCTTTAGCCAGCCTTTTCGTAAATGTCTGCCTCGGCAGTTAGACCCAGAACATTCGGTCACGGCTGCCTAAGACACAAGCCCATGAAAACGCAAAGTCTGGAGAAGAGAGAGCCATTCAGAAGCCATGAACTCCACTCCCTTATTTTCTTTGGGCTTGCTGCCCTGTTTCATTCAGTCCAGCCTGGGGCTTGTGGGCTAAAGCAGGTGTCCCAAACCCGGGGCTGCGGACCAGCACCAGGCCGGGCCTGTTAGGAACCAGGCTGCACTGCAGGAGATGCACTTGAATCGTCCCAAAACCATTCCCCCAACCCTGGTCTGTGAAAAAACTGTCTTCCCCGAGACCTGTCCCGGGTGCCCAGCGGTTGGGGACTGCTGGGCTAGAGCATCTGTCTTGTTTTGGAGGACATAGGCACCCGCCACCCCAAACACACACCCCTCCTCGCCCTGGGCCAACAGACTCACGGGGCTTCATGGTCGTGGCATTGGCAGAAGGGCTGGCGGGCCCAGTGCCCGCTCGGTTGTAGGCCCGAACAGTCACATGGTACTTGGTGTTGGGGTGCAGCTCAGTGACTCGAGCACTCGTGTCCAGCCCTGCTGTCCTCACTCGGTCAGCGGCTGCTTCTTTGTCTCCAGCTTTCCAGTAGCGAATCTGAAGGGGACCGGGACACCCTAGGGTGAGCAATCAAGTTCGGGACCTCAGAGCCCCCTGACCTTGGCCCTGGTCACCGACATTCTGTTCCTCTCCTGCTCACTCTGGTCCTTGTGACTCAGCCTTTTTTTTTTTTCTTTTAATTGATTTTAGAGTGAGAGAGGAAGGAGGTGCAGAGAGAGAAAGAGATGGATTTGTTTTTCTACTTATGCATTCATTGGATGATTCTTTTTTAAGCATAAATTCATTTTTGAAATTTTAAAATTAAATATATTTTATTGATTATGCTATTACAGTTGTCCCATTTCCCCCCCCCTTTATTCCCCTCCAACCTGTATGCATATCCCCTCCCACCCACATTCCCCACCATTAGTTCATGTCCATGTGTCACACATACAAGTTCTTTGGCTTCTACATTTCCTATACTATTCTTACCCTCCCCCTCTCTGTTTTGTACCTGCCATTTATGATTCTTATTCTCTGTACCTCCCCCCCCACTCCCCTGCTGATAACCCTCCACATGATCTCCATTTCTGTGATTCTGTTCCTGTTCTACTTGTTTGCTTAGTTTGTTTTTGTTTTTGTTTTAAGTTCTGTTGTTAATAACTGAGTTTGTTGTCATTTTATTGTTCATACTTTTTGTCTTCTTTTTCATAGATAAGTCCCTTTAACGCTTCATATAATTAAGGGCTGGGTGATGATGAACCTTTAATTTGACCTTGTCTGAGAAGCACTTCATCTGTCCTTCCATTCTAAATGAAAACTTTGCTGCATAGAGCAATCTTGGATGTAGGTCCTTGCCTTTCATGACTTGGAATACTTCTTTCCAGCCCCTTCTTGCCTGCAAGGTTTTTTTTTGAGAAATCAGCTGACAGTCTTAAGGGGACCCCTTTGTAGGTAACTGTCTCCTCTCTCGCTGCTTTTAAGATTCTCTCCTTATCTTTAATCTTGGGTAATGTAATTGTGATGTGCCTTGGTGTGTTCCTCCTTGAGTCCAACTTCTTTGGGACTCTCTGAGCTTCCTGGAACACTATTTCCTTTGCCAGATTGGGGAAGTTCTCCTTCATTTGTTCAAATAAGTTTTCAATTTCTTGCTGTTCCTCTTCTCCTTCTGGCACCCCTATAATTCAGATGTTGGAATGTTTAAAGATGTCCTGGAGATTCCTAAGCCTTTCCTCATTTTTTTGAATTCTCGTTTCTTCATTCTGTTCTGGTTGAATGTTTTTTCTTTTTTTCTGGTCCACACCATTGATTTGAATCCCAGTTTCCTTCCCATCACTGTTGGTTCCCTGTACATATTCCTTTATCTCACTTAGCATAACCTTCATTTTTTCATCTAATTTGTGACTATATTCAACCAATTCTGTGAGCATCCTAATTACCAGTGTATAGAACTGCGCATCTGATAGGTTGGCCACCTCTTTGTTGCTTAGTTGTATTTTTTCTGGAGCTTTGTTCTGTTCTTTCGTTTGGGCCATTGTTTTTGTCTCAGCATGCCTGTTACATAGTGAGGGGCAGAGCCTTAGGTGTTCACCAGGGCTGTGTAACCCAGGTCCCTGGGTTATGACGCTGTGTGTGGGGCAGGGGTCCGAGAGGGAACAATGGCACTTGCTCTGCTCTCTGCCAGATTTCAGTCACTTCCCCCGCTCCCCACAGTCAAATTGGGCCCTTCTAGTGCTGATTCCCAGGTGGGTGTGTTTGTGTGCATCCTAGGACCCTGTGGGTCTCTCCCACGAACTCTCCTGTGAGGCTGGAATTTCCTCCCACTGCTGCCGGAGGGATGAGCCTCACAGGTGTTTTCTGTCAGAGGTTTCAGGCTTTATTTCCCCTCGCTGGAGCCCTGGGTTGCTCGGTCTGTCTTGCTCTCCAGTTGTTCCTCCCAGCTCATCTGCACGTGAATGTGCGACTGCCAGGTCCACAATCCACCCCCTCACCGGGCCTGCCCGCTGCCGCCTTGCTGCGAGTCCTCTCCACCCCAGCTGCCCGTCTCCGCCCCTCCTACCAGTCTGGATGAATGTTTCTTCCTTAACTCCCTGGTTGTCAGACTTTCATACAGTTTGTTTGGTTTCTGTCAGTTTTGGTTGTTTTTTGTTTTTAAATTTGTTGTTGTCCTTTTGGTTGTGCGAGGAGGCACAGCGTGTCTACCCACACCTCCATCTTGGCCAAGAGTTCTCATTGGTTGGTTGATTCTTATATGTGCCCTGACTGGGGATGGAACCCACAGCTTTGTGGTATCAGGATGAAAAGCCTTAACCAACTGAGCTATCTGACTAGGGCATGACTCAGTCTTGAGTCTCAGAAGCTGGACACTGGATCCTCCTACTCCATACGCACCCTAGTGTGGACTCATCAGTGGTCCACGGCCCAGGGCTCAGGCCAGAAACTGCTGGGCCCAGTGTCTCCTGGGGACGCAATGACCAGTTAGTACGTAGAGAGGCCGTGCTATTCTCTGCGGCCTGGGGGTGCTACACTAGCTGGGCTCTGGTGTGAAAGGGACAGGCACGCCCCTTCTAGAACCTGCCCCTCCTCTCCTAAGCACCCACAACTTCCAGTCCTGGGGCTGGCCTCCCCAGCGAGCACCAGCCGTGGGGCTTAGCTAAGGCTGCGTTCAGAGCGATACACAGACCAGGTGCTGTTTGCCTTGCTAGCAAATGAGTGATCCAGGAAGGAGTGACTGGTGAGTTGTGAGGTGCCCCCCGCCAGCCTCGAAACCTCCCCGGCCCCGGGTCAGTGCTCACCTCATACCCCAGGAGGATGCCATTCATGTCCTGCTGCACAGGTTCCCAGGTCACGTTCATCTCTGAAGATGAGACCCCCTTGGCCCAGACCTTGGTAGGGGCCACCCTGGGCTCTGGGGATCGATAAAAAATGGGTTTGGATTCCTGGGATTTTCTTGTGTCCTACAGAGTAGCCGTCACACTGGGACAGCCCTCACCAAGGACTTTTTAGCCCAGGGTCCAGAGTAAAGGCCACGGCTGTGGAGGGGTGTCGGGGTGGGGGGCAGGGAGGGAAACTGGAGAATGAAGAGCCCCCCTCCTCTTTCCCCAGGCCTGAGGGGGAGACCAAGTAGCAAGGGCTAGAAACGAGGCCAGTGGCTTAGAACCCAGGTTGTCTCTCCTCCCCACTGTGGAACTGAGGAGGTGTGGAGGATGGAAAGTACAAGCAGCTGGGGTGGGGTGCAGGATGGGCCCAGGGGGCCACCCACCTTCCTCAGCCGAGTACACAAGGGCCGTGAGGCTCTCAGGCCCATCCCCACGGCGGTTGTAGCTTCGAATCTTGACCTCAAAAGGCGTGTAGGGCCGGATGCTCTCGTTGCTGTAGACGAAGTACTGGGTGTCGGCACCGAGCACCCGGGCGGTCTGCCAGCTTGTGCTGCCCTGCCTGCGGAAGGACAGCAGGTAGCCGAAGCCATCTCCGTTCTGGTACTCCCGTGACATGGGCTGAGGGGCAAGAGTGTGGCATGGGTGAAGGGCCTCAGGTGCATTTCCTGCTCATCCCCCAGCCCTACCCAACCTTCACCAGGACGTGTGCGCCTGCGGTGATTTGCATCCTGTGTGGGTGCTCCTGCGAGAGGCAGTAGGTGCAGGGGAGGGAGGGGACATCCACTCTTGAGCGGACTGTGCAGTGGCTCCGTCCCGGGTGTGCCCTGCACGCCCGAGGCGAGGCAGCGCTGGGGCGAGGGAGGCACCCAGAGAACCGGAGGCACACGCTGCCTCTGTCCTCGCAGCTTACCGTCCAGTTGACGACGAGCTCTCCAGGGGCTCCACCGCCTCCGCTGAGTCCTGAGGGTGCCACCGAGGGGGCTGTCAGGGCCGAGGGACACAGATGTGGCTTGATAACGGGCAGTGAGGGAACAGAAGCCCTGGGCCTAAGCCTGTAAGTATCCTAGGATGGGGACACCCCTTCAGAAGGGCCTCGACTGTCCTCAAACAGTCCCTGTGGATGTGGGCTCAGCAGTCAGGCAGGCCTACGGTGGAATCCCTTCTGTGCCATTTACTAGCTGTGTTTCCCTGAGCAAGTTACTTAACATCTCTGAGCCTGATTCCCCTCCATAAGATGAGGATAATGTGTGTCTCAAAGAGCTGTGAAGAGAATACATTAAACAAGAGTGGTCAGTCTGTGCATGTGTGTGTCCCATACATGCTCACTGTCCTCTTCCCCATTGGCTTAAACTGAATAACAGAAACCAGCTCCAAGGACTTCTGCCAAGATGGAGGCATAGGTGGAGATGCCATGCTTTCTCACACAACCAAGTTTAGAGACAACAAAATATTAGCAATAGAAAACACAGCCAGAACAAAGAAAATTGAACTTTTCGGAAGTCTGATAACAACAAATTCTTCAGCCTGACCGGTAAGAGGGGCGAAGCCAGCAGCTGGCGGAGCGGGGTTGCACAGGAAAACTCGGTCAGACGGACTCAGGTGCGTGGATCCCAGGCCTGGGGTTGCAAAGGGTGGACCCAGTGAACGACCCAGTGAGCGACCAGTGGACCAAGCAAGGGTGCAGGGTGGCGGGTTGACTGTGGTAGCACATTCGTGCACAGATGGACCGGCGAGGGAGTGGGCAGTGAGGTGGGACCGGCCGGGCCCCAGCGGTGGGAGGCAGCAGAGGGGGCCGCTATGTCCCCGCTCTGACCCCACCCCCACATACAGTGTCACAACCCAGCGACCTGAGCGGCCCCGCCCTGATGAACACCTAAGGCTCCACTCCTCATACTTAACAGGCGCCAACAGACCAAAAATGGCTCAAGAAGATCTCAAAGCCCCAGAGCCCATAACTCTAAGCGATGAAGAAATAGCCAAACTTTCAGATGCACAGTTCAAAACACTGGTTATCAGGATGCTCACAGAAATGGTTGATTTTAGTTACAAATTAGAGGAACAAGTGAAGGCTAAACTAAGTGAAATGAAGGGAAATGCAAAGAAAACCAATAGTGATGAAAAGGAAACTGGGACTCAAATCAAGGGAGTGAACCAGAAGGAAGGAAAAAATGACCAAACAGGAAAATATGAAGAAACAAGAATTCAAAAAAATGAGGAGAGACTTAGGAACCTCCAGGACATCTTTAAACGCTCCAACATCCAAATTATAGGGGTACCAGAAAGGGGAAAGGAACAGCCACCAGTGGAAAACTTATTTGAACAAATAATAAAGGAGAATTTCCCCAATCTGGCAAAGGCAGTAGACTTCCAGGAAATCCAGGAAGCTCAGAGAGTCCCAAAGAAGTTGGACCCAGGAAGGAACACACCAAGGCACATCATCATTATATTAGCCAAGATTAAAATGAAGGAGAGAATCCTAGAAGCAGCAAGAGTTAAGGGGACAGTCACCTACAAAGGAGTCCCCATCAGACTGTCAGCGAATTTCTCAAAAGAGACCTTCCAGGCAAGAAGGGGCTGGAAAGAAGTATTCCAAGTCATGAAATCCAAAGATCTACAACCAAGATTGCTCTATCCAGCAAAACTTTCATTTAGAATGGAAGGACAGATAAGGTGCTTCTCAGATAAGATCAAATTCAAGGAGTTCATCATCACCAAGCCCTTATTATATGAAATGTTAAAGGGACTTATCAAAGAAAAAGAAGTTAAAAAAAAACATGAACAGTGAAAGGACAACAAACTCACAGTTATTAACAACCACACCTAAAACAAAAGCAAACTAAAAGGACAGCTAGATCGGGAGTAGAAACATAGAAATGAAGATCTCATGGAGGGTTAGCAACAGGGGAGTAGGAGGAGGAGAAGGGGGGAGAAGGTACAGAAAATAAGTAGCATAGACGGTAGGTAGAAAATAGATGGGGGGGCAAGAATAGTATGGGAAATATAGACTCTAAAGAACTTGAGACACATGGTCATAAACTAAAGGGGGGGAATGGTGGGGGCGGGGTGTGTAGGGTGGAGGGGAACGAAGGGGGGAATAGAACAACTGTAATGGCATAATCAATAAAATTTTTTAAAAACTAAAAAAAGGAAAAAAACAATCAATCAATAAATAAACACCCCCCCCCCAAAAAAAGAAACCAGCTCCAGCTTGCTGGAGAGTCTGGGGAGAAAGTAAACCAGAACTGCCATCAATGCAAAAAAAAAACAAAACATTTCTTTTGTGTTGCAGGGTGTTTTTTTTATTATTTTTCTTTTTGTGGCAGTTTTAATTTCCTAATTGTCTCTATTATTCAACAAGGGTGATATTAAAACAAGAATATATTTCATCAGCTCACAGAGCTCCACAGGGGGTAGCTTGGCTGAGGGTCCAAGTATTTCTGCAGATGACCCAGCAGTTAGAGACTTATCACCTGGCTTGATGACTGTAGTTTGGGGCCTGTAATCTTCAAGGAGCCATTACAGACACTGCCCGTCTGACCCTGAGAACTGGGTGTTTTTCCACCCTTTTCAGGGTGGAAAGGCAAAGCTCAGTGCAGAGAAGTGACTTGCAGAAGGTCTCAGAGCTAATAAATGGCACAGCCAGAATTTGAACTTGTTCTCTGATTTCAAAGCACGTCATCATCTGTCCTCTGCACTGCAGCTGTCTTTGTGCTCATCAGCTCCCGGGGTACAGGAGGGCCCCCGGCCCCACACTGCCTCTGCAAGAAGTCCAGTCAAAGAATGCACTGCTTCTGATTTACTCACTCAGGAGAGGTACCAGTTAGAAATGCTGAATGGTCCCAGAAAGAGCCCAGAGAGCCAGGCTGGGGCACATAGAAAACTACGTGGAAGGCAGACCTGCGCCACAGCTCCAGAGGGGTGGGCCTGGGTGGGTGGGAGCCAGAGAGGCAGGGCCCTGAGTCTGTGCTGCCCACCCGGGACCCGGGGCTGTGGAGGGGAGACTGTTCCACGATGTGACTGCTGCATGTCCTTTAAACCAGAATGGAGGCTTCTTTCCAAAACCCCCCTCAGAGACCGTGGGATCAATGTTCATTCTGACACAAATCAGCATCCCTCTCCCACCTCCTGCTTCTTGCTGGTTCCTGGAAAAGGCCTTTGACTTGCTCCAGCATGCAAAGTAATTTCCTGTACCTGGTAGTATCTATTAGCACCTAGTACTTAGTACCTCTGAGTATTTCCCCCTTTTACCCTGTATAACTCTTCGGGGCCTGGCATGCAGCACAGAGCACATCCACTTCATCTGGCAGCCGCTCAAGTCCACCTGCCATGTTTGTCCCCATAATAAGCCCTGTTACTTGCCAGGCTGAGGGTCCTGCCTCTTTCTCGGGTCTTCCCCCGCCCTCCACTTACGGAGGCATATTTTCAGTCCGGCGCTTTTCCCTGGGCCTGTGTGTACCAACAGGCTCTCCTGCTGCGCCTTCAGATGCGTGAAAGGCTCCAATGGTGGGTAGAAGCCTCCGGAAGAGCCCGCCCAGGTCTCTTCCCTTCCTTCCCCACTCTGACCCTGACACCGCCTTTCAGGAGGTTGTGGGCAGGCATCCATTCCTCCTGCTCCCGAAGAAACCACTCAGAGGGTTTGGAGACACTGCCGCTTCCCTGGGCCCCCGCACAACACACACGCAGTCACTCGCTCTCACAAATGCACACATGCACTCGCCTGCTTACACACACTCTCACACCACACCTTCCTCATTAACCGATTTTTGCAGCTCATGCAATTCCAGGGTTCCAGTCCAGGCTCTGCCAGTGTGACCCTTCCCTTCTCCAAGCTTTGGCTTTTCCATTAAAAAAAAAAAGCTTTTAGTTTAGAGATATTGTAGATTCATAGCGTTGTAAGGTTGGCCCATGTTTTAAGTGAGGCCTTCGGACAGGGTGGGCCCAGGGCCTGCAGCACGGTGCAGCGCAGTGGCCCGGCCCTGACCCGTGCTCCTTCCTCGTCTGCCTGGTTAGAGAGTCCAAGGCCTGGTCAGCAGGGCCGGAGCTCTGCGTACCAGCAGTCTGGTCACAGCTGCCTTTAGGGAGGGGTAGGGTCTGTGCCCCGAGTTGCTTCTCTTTGGGACACACAGGACTCTGACCTGCTTCCTTGGTCCGGATCTTGCTGGAGGGCCCACTGGGCTCCCCAGTGCCCAGGATGTTGCTGGCTATGACCCGAAACTCATAGTCCATCCAGGGTGTGAGGCCCAGCACCTGGGCGGTCTCCGCATTGCCCTCGATGTTGGCAGGATCTGCAAGGCAGGAGGGAGTTGGTGTTCGGCATTTGCTATTGTTCTGGATGGAGAGCTCAGGGACTGAGCCCGAACCACACCTCCTCATACTTGGCCCTTGTGGAGGGGCCTGACCCACACTAAGCATTCAATACCTCCTTCAGAAGTGACTAGAAAAACAGTAGTCCTCCCTGCCGGGAGCCTTTGCTGGTGTTCTGCACACCCTACACCCCGTGTGAGTGGTCATCGCCCCGGTGGTATTTCTGCCAGTGCTTGAAGGGTGCAGACCCAGCTCCACCCCCTCCAGTTCTCGCCCTGCTCTCTGGCTGTCCATGTGACCCATCTCCCCTCTGGCCTGGGAGCTCTCTGCAGGCAGATGGCCCAAGCTTGTCCCTCTGCGAAGCTCCAGGCTCAGCCCCAGCCTTCTGACCCCCTAACCCCCACTTCCGGCCCACAGCCAGGCCTTATCAGTACTGACAGTGCAGGAAGGCAGCTCACACTTACTGGTCCGAACTTGCTTCCACTTCCCTGCAGGTGGAGCTCGAGCTTGCAGGGTATACTTGGCAATGGGGCTGTGGTTGTCAAAGCCACGACTCCAGCTAAGCTGGACAGTGGTGTCGCCAATATCCCTTACCACCACACCTCCTGGGGGACCCGGTGGACCTGCACCCAGAAGTCAGAGAGTTGTGGGTTAGAATTGGGTAGTTTCAAATTTGAGCCAACCTTCTCGGGGCTTGTTTGGGCTGGTGCAGGACCAAGTGGGGGCAGCAGAGGTCGCCACAAACACCTGGTGGGAGAGTGGGGGGTGTGTGTTAGGTGGGGTGTGTCTAAGGCTGGAGGTGTCACAGAGCACCTGGCACAGAGATATGTGTGTCTAGATTTCCCAGCGCTAGGCCCTGAAAATTTCTGGCCTCAGCAAAGTTCTCCACTGTTGAGATGAGCTGAAAGAGTGGATTTTTAAAATTTTGGCTTTGGAGGAAGAATATTCTATTCACTTAGGATCTGTGAAGAACCACCAGCTAAGTTCAGCTCAGAGAGCTTCTGTCAGAAGCCCCTACAGCTCTCCGACGGAGGAGGGGCGCGAAGGCCAGAAGAGCCCAGCCGGCCTCCGAGGGAGTGGGCTGGAGGTGGGAGTGGGAAACCCTGTTACCTCGGACCAGGACCGTGGCCTCCTTGGACGCACTGTCCACCACCGTCTGGGCCACGCATGTGTACTTCCCTCCGTGACGCAGCTGAGCGTCCAGGATGGTCAGATCCCCGACTGTCTCCTTCTGTACACAGGGAACAGGAAGGGCAGGTCAGGGGACGCAGCTCTGGCTCGCCAGTGAGCCGGAGACACACAGGAGGCAGGGCTCGGCGTCCCCTGCTCCCTGGGAATCCCGATGTGTTCCATGGGAGGGGCAGCTACTCCCCACCTCCGGGGACCAAACCACAGTTCGTTACACAGGTGGTCAGCAGTGGTCCAAGCGAAGGAGGCCGTGCACGCTGGTGGGGTGGGGGTGCAGGATGACAAGAACGGTGGTGGGAGTGAGTCTTGCTGAGCACCTGGAATTCTGGATTTGTCCCCAACTTCTCCTAAATGCGTGGACTTGGGGGAATCCAGAGAACTGCCAGTATGAAGGAGGGCGGTTATGAGTCTGAGGGTGAGTTTGCCATGGTGGGCACTCCTGCAGGAATGGGGAAGGGCTCTGGGGCTGCGGTGGGGAAGGACATCTTGGGGACCCTGCCTATTCTAAAGCGGGGAGGAGCCCTGGGTTCTCAGTCTCAGGCCTCACCACACTGGCCCTCCGGTAGTGACCCCCAGGCTTATCGGAGTCAATGGGGAAGTCATCCAAAGTCCAGATGAAGGTGAGGTCCATGGTGGGGTCATGGGAGGCGTGGCACTGCAGGGTCAGGTTGTCCCCTAAGTTGATGTCGGCACTGGAGGGGGCCAGAGTGATCTTGGTTGCATCTGCCAAGAAAACAAGGGCCCTGTGTAGACGAGGTGAGAGGGTTTGCCCTAAGCCCCAGGAATGGGAAGAGGCAGCAGGCAACAGGACCCTGACCTCCCAGCGGCCCCTGAGCGTGTGGTCAGGAGTCAGGACTAGATTCTGGGTGGCAGCCAGAGGGTGGTCCCAAGTGAAATCGCATCCTGGAGTAGTCTCAAAACCAAACTGGGAGCAACATGGGACCACAAGAGCAGGACGAAGAGGAGGGATGGCGCCCCCTGAGGGCCTAGTCCCCAACCGTGGCCAAACCACATCCCTTACCTCGCACAGACAGGATGCCCGTGCTGTTGGCTTTGCCCATGAAATTCTCAGCGAAGCAGGTGTATTTGCCTTCATCGGACCGACTGATGTTTCTTATGATCAACGTGCCATCCGGAGTTACAGTCACTCTGTAGTAAGGACAGAGCAGATCCGCCCCCCGCCCCCAGAGACACACTGTAGTCCTGGGAAGGGACTCACCTCCAAGGAGAATGAAGGGGAGCAGGAATTGCTTGGGGTGGGGTGGGGTGCCGCTTGTACCTGCTGCTGTTGACCAAAATCTCAGTGCCTTTGCTCCAGAGCACCACGGCTTTTGGAGCTGCCCGGGGCTGACAGGGGATAATGACCTCTCCCCCTCGGGCTGCAGGGATCAGGCGCCTTACAGGATTCAGCCTGAAGTCGGGGGCCAGTGCTGGAAGAAGAGGGGAGCACCCCACAGTTGTCCGGCACGCCATCACAGTACCCAGGGCTAAGACATCACCTGGCCATGTGCTAAGCACTTCATGCACCCTTCATGGTCAGTCCATGAGAGACTCTCAGCACCAAGAATACCCAGAATCCTCTTCTTATCACCCCACTGCTACCACACTGCTCCACGCCACCAAATCTCCTGCTGGACCATTGAAAGGCCCTCTAATTTGGTCTTCCTGTATTGGTATTTTCTTTCTGCAATCTCTTTCCTACCCAACAGCCAGGAATATTGTGTTTAAAATGGGAATCAGGACTCTGGAGCCCGCCTTCTCCCTGGCACTCAGAACTAAGCCCCTGCCTCTCCAACCCTTCTCACTCCATCCTCTCCTCACTCAGTGTGCTCCCACCACCTGGGCCATTTTCGTCCTTTGAAAATGCTACATTTTTTTTCCTGCCTCAGGACCTTTGCCCTGGCAGCACATTTTGCCTAGAAATCCTCCCGATCTTCCCAACTGGCTGGTTACACCCAGGTCACACCCCCAAAGTGAATTCCTTGGTGAGGTCTTCCTTGACCGTCCTGTCTCACTGGCACACCTCAATCCTATCCCCCTACTGGATTTTTCTTATACTGTATTCTTTTAATGGCTGCTACAGTGAGCTTATTTAATGATTTGATTTTGTGTTTATTTGACCCCCTTTCTCTGCTGGATGGTAAGAGACTTAATGGCAGAGACCTTATCTGAGGAGGTATTGAATAAATATTGGTTGAATGAGTGAATGAACGAGTCTTAGTTAAGCCTCGCCACAACTTGACGAGGTAAGCATCACTGCATCCACTTTACAGATGAGAAAGCTGAACTTCTAGGAGCTCGAGTCAGACAGGGAGAGTGTGAGCAGCAGCCCACACTCACTGGGCACCTATTATGCATTGGGCCCTTCGTGTTTTTACCTCTGTCCTCTTACTGAGTCCTGACAAGGAGCTGTTTTATGAATTAGTGAACTGAGATGCAGAGCTGAGGAGCTTGGGTCAGATGCAGATCTAATTCATTGGGTTTCCAGTGACTTTTGCCATCTTTTTTTTTTCTTAACTGCAAAAAACTATTTCATTTGTGCCAGACAGGGAACAAACCTTTTCCTCTGGGGTCCCTCAGTTTAGTGTCTCATCTCTTTTCATAAATAAGCCCCTGAGTTCTTTGTGGAAGCTGTCAGGAAACTGCCGGGGGTGTGTGTGTTTCGAAATGCTGCGAGTCAGCTCCCAGAGCCCCGCCCGCGCCCCCGTGGATGGCCCAGCCTCCTGGGCCCTTTACCTTGCACGGCCAGCTCCGCGCTGGCGTAAATGGTGCCGTGCTTGTTCTCTGCCACGCACTGGTACATGCCCGAGTCCTCCAGGCTCAGCTTGGAGAACTGCAGGTCCCCGGCCAGCACCTCTATCCGGTTCTGTGCAAAAGAGCCATGCCCAGGGTCAGGACCACTTTCAGGGAGGTCTACAGAGGTGGGGAGGGGTGCGGCGGAGACTCTAGGCTGGCACTCCCTGGAGGCGGGGTTCACATGCCCAGTCCCATCTCAGAGCCACCTGGAATTCCCCAGGCCTCCATGCACATCAGCACACAGACGCCAGGTGGGCGAAGGGACCCACAGGACCACACAGTGTATTTGTGGCTGAGCTGTGCCTGGGCCCAGGGCTCTGGACCCTCCAGTCACGAGTCTATCCAGCTGACCAGCCTGTAGCCATGTGACTCTGGGACGGGAAGAAGCACCTGGAAACACCCTATGGCACTCTAATTGGCCCAGGGGGGCTGCCTGTGGTGCAGCGCGGTGGTGGGGGCAGGCAGTGGGGAGTGAAGGAACCGGCGAGCAGGGGACCATTTGTGTGTGGGAGGAAGCCCCAGCTCTGCTACCTGGGAGGCCAGAGGCTCTCCGTTCCGCAGCCAGCGCACTGTGGGCCGGGGCTTGCCAGCGGCTGCGCAGCCCCAACGCAGGCTGGAACCGATGTCGGCCTCCATGTCCGAGATCACCTTGAGCCACTCCGGCTGGGCTGTGGGGTACAAGGGAGAGAAAGGCTGGGGATAAGCTGGGAGGAGCCCCCCACTTATTAAACAGACCAGAATCGCAGGGCTGCAGTTCCTGTTCCAGACAGCAGAGAGCGTTATTAGCATTCTGGAAAGGGGTGTGAAAAGCAGGCCGCAGAAAGCTGGCATTTTGAGCCCATGTCACTGGCTGTTTTAGCACCTGAAATCATTCTAAAGCCTTCCATGTGTTTTCTGCGACACTGGAGCTCTGAGGGTGCCTCTTCCGTTCCCGCACCCAGTGCATCCTGGAGCCGGAGGCTTAAGCAAAGGGCTTTCCCGTCTCCTCCCTGACTTGTGGGTGGACCGCCTCAGTCAGGCACAGGGGTCAGGGTGGGGACAGGTGTCCTGTCTCGTACCCTGCACGATGATGCGGCCCTGGACACTGTCTCGGCCCTTGGAGTTCTCCGCCTCACACTCATAGGTGCCCTCATCCTCGAAGCTGACGCTGGGGATCTGCAGGGTGGGCTCAGCTGTGGCCCACTGCGGGGACAAGGAGCCATCCACTTTGCGCCACTTGATCCTGGGCACGGGGCTGGCGGGGGAGACAAAGCCAGAGGGGGTGGGCTGAGCTAGTCAGATGCCCTGTGCAGACTCGGGTCTCCTGAGATGCTGGGCAGGTAGCGGTGGGAAGGAGGGCAGCCCTGCCTGGGCCCGGGAGGGAGCAGAGCGGGGAGGGGCCTCTTCCTGGTGGGCTTGGAGCACAGGCAGGGAAGGGGCAAGAAATGGGGCTCCCTTCTCCCCTCCACCCCCCTGCAACAACTGTGACACCAGTGAAGTGGGTCTTCCGTGTGGTCCGTACCTGAAGCTTACTCGCCCCCCGCCCCCGACGCCGCACTGACCGCCAGGCCTCCTCTGGGCCTGCCCTCCCCAACAGTGGCCTGGGTCCCTTTCCCCTCTTCAACAGGGCCTCGCCTCTTCTTTCCAAAGTGTCTGTAGTTATTAGTAATCTGTGAACTAAATAAAATGGACTGAAGTATTGCCCTGGCTCAGTTCCTGCCTGTGAACCAAAGTGTCACTGGTTCGATCGACGTTTCTCTCCCTCTCTTTCACCCTCCCTTCCTCTCTTAGAATAAAATAAAATAAAAATCCCATTAAAAAAATGGACTGAGGTACTGATGAGTCTTTAAATACGGATTTTCTGGAAGCCCAGTAATGTTCCACAAATCAGAGGCACCCTGGGCACCCTCCAACAGCAGGAAGTGCCTGTGGGCCTTCGTTCTGCAAATGTTTACTGAGCACCTGCACTGCTGAGCCCTGCTCCCACGACTCCTTTTTCTGGGAGAGCATGATTCCTATCGGAACTTTTTAAAAGATAACTGTTGGTGTCCACAGAATACCTACTAAACGCCCGCCAGGCACTGTTCTGAGCACTTAACATATATTAACTCAGTGAGTTTTCACAGCCCCGTGGGGGGTACTATCATCACCACGTACAAATAAGGAAATGGAGGCAGAGAGCAGTTACGTGGTTACCGAGGTCTCCCAACCAGTGAGATGACCGAGTGGGAATCTGAGTCAGGCAGGTCAGGTGGTTAGTGCCCGGTGCATGGTGGTCACTGCCCACTGTGGGTCTGGCACTCTGCTAGACCCTGTGAGGGCACCGAGATGACTGAGTGCTGGCCCTGCCTGCCCCCTCTCTGTCCCTGGGGCCACTTGTGCCTGGCCTGTTCCGGCCTCCACCACCACTCACTTCCCAAAGGCAAAGCACTCCAGGGTGACCTGCTGTCCCACCAGTGCGTACGTCTCTGCCGGGAACCGGGCCTTGATGCTGGGTGCGAAGAGCCTGGGGTCTGGGGAGACAGGGTTTGGCAGGTCAGGTGCAAGAGGTCCGGGTCAGGGGCCCCCGTGCTGGGATCTCAGCACAGCTCCGAGCTAGCTCCATCTTAACTTTCTTTCCCCTTGGAGGCCTGAGGCCAGCCTCTGGGGTCTTGTAACAGTGGGCTCAGGGGTCTAGGCCCCAGACCCTGCACCCTGCACCCTGCACCCTGGGAGCTGCTCTTCACAGCCTCTGAGGGAAAAGCCCCTCTCTCCACATTCGCTGACCCTGACCTTCAGCAGCCAGGTTGAGCTGAGCAAACTTGCTGAAGACGCTTTTGGTGGAGAAGTCCATGTGGCTGGTGGCCAGGCAGGAGTAGTTGCCCAGGTCTGAGGCATTGGTGCGGGCGATGTATAGGTTCCCTGTGGTCTGGGACACGAAGTGACGCCCGTCCGCCGGGATGAAGTTGGGGAACTCGTTGAGGAGCCAGCGGTAGGACAGGCCTAGGAGTGGGGAGTTTGGGGACACCAGGGGGTGTGGGGATAACAGGCAGCTTTGGGTGGGACCCCAACATGCTGGGAGAGATCAGTAGACCCTGTCCTGAGAGCCCCTGTTCTGTGAGCTGGGGCTGAGGGGGACCCCGAGGGAAGATTCAACGGCATTCCTGCCCTTGGGGAGCGCTGTCTGTCAGGGAAACAGCCCCGCAGGGACCTCCCAGTCAGAATGTGCCCTGGGAGGCAGGGCACAGAGCTGGAAAATGACAGACTCATAAAGGAAATAATTCTTTAAGATTGAGGACCGAGGGATCAGTTGCTTCCAAGAGTCACTCACCACCTTATATTCCATCCCTCTGCTGAGTGGCCACAGCTCCTCCTGGGCCCTGGGTCTAACAGCGGGTCCAGGTCCCGACTCACCTGGGTAGTGGGCGGGCGGGTTACAGGGCAGCATCACTCCCCAGCCTTCGTGGGTTTTCACTGGGTCTCGTTCCTCCTTGGAGAATTCCTGCAGAACTGGGGGTGAAGGCCAGGCAGCCCTCAGGTGCCGTCCTCCCAGCCGGGGCCCTTCCCCAGCTCGGCCTCCGTGGGAAGCGGGCACATGCCTTTTCCCAACACTCTTCCCAGCCCCTCCTGCCCTCCCCTAGAACATCCTGGCACCCCACGGGGCCTCACAGCCGAAGCGCAGGACAGCCTCCCTGCTGACGACAGTGCCCACTGGGTTGGAGGCCAGGCACTGGTAGACACCGGCATCCTGTGCCTTGGTGGGGCTCATGATGACCAGGTTGCCTCCCACCAGCTGGTGGCGGGACCCTGGCTCCAGCTTCATCTCGGTGCCGTTCATCTTCCATCTGCAGCAGGGGTGGAAGCGGAACTCCTAAGTGCCGCCCAGCCGCCCAGCTGCGGGGCTGATGGGAAGAAAACCGGCACAGCTTCCCAGGGTCTCCCGGCATCCACGGTGGGGGTCTCACCTGTAGGTGGCTGGAGGGCTGGCCCGGGCACGGCACGCCAGTGTCACCTTCTCCTCTGTGGACTCCTCTGGGAACAGCAGACTGAGGGGCTGGTCTTCAAAGACAGGGCCGAAGGTGGACAGGGATCCCAGGGCTGAGCTCCACGCTGCAGATGGGGACACCGGCAGAGGCCTCATGGCCCGGGGGCCAGCCAGGGCCTGGCCTCCAGGGCAGCGCTGTCCAACAGGCCTCTCCGCAATGATGGAAAGGCCCCAGCTCCTGCCCTGCCGGGGACAATGTGCTGGCCACTGACACTACTGTGGAGCCCTTGCAAAGTGGCTGGTGCAGCTGAGGAACCAAATTCTTAACTTTAGTTAGCTCTAATTAATCAAAACTTGAATTTCAATAGGTCAGTGAGTTCAGCGGATCGCCCGCCCTGCACGTGGCTGGTGGGCACCGACCACGGTGCCCCCGGCACTGGGCTGTAGGCTGTGCACACAGCCCCTCTTCCTTAAAGAGCTTGCGGTCCAGGAAGGGAAGCAGAAAACTGCCAGTACAAGGTGGAAAGAGCCATCGTAACAGGTCAGGTTCAAGGTGCAGGGGCACCTCAGAGGGGAAGCGGGTGGTACTGCCCAGGGATGGTGGGGCGGGGTCTCTTGGAAAAGCTGATCTGCAGGGTGTGGCTAGGCCTTGAAGGGGAAGAGGGAATGTACGCCTCGGGGCAGAGAAAGCGCCCTGGCTCTTACCAGCTGTTCTAGAACCTTCTGAGCCCTAACACCTTTGCCTGTGAAATGGAAAGGCTGTGGAGTCCCTTCCCAGGGTCTGAGAGAGGCTTCAGTCTGGCACAAGGTGTGTGTTCCACAATGTCCGCTGGGCCCAAGTACAGGACAAGGTCGGGTTTGGGGGAGGACGGAAGGCTTTGCAATGGGTGGAGGGTGTATAAGTTGCTTCGGGGGCATTTTAATAAAATTCCAGAGTGACAATTCAAAAAAGAGAGGCCCAGATAAGGGGTTGATATGCCAGGGTCACAGGACAAGTCTATGGCACATGCAAGGCCAGACCTCAGTCTCCTGAATTTGCAGAGCACGTGGACATCTCAGGGAGGGCACATCTTACTTGCCAGTGTCTGGTCTCACCCGGAAGGGCCCGAGGTGTGCAGGGCGGTGTGCTGGGGAGGGACCACCGTTTGCTGATCCCGCAGCCAGACACACTTCACCTTTGTAGTGTTGAGCAGGAGCCAGGCTGCCCCTGATGGGCTCCTACCCCTCAATGCAGCTGACTTCAGGCCTTTCTTGGTGGGTCATGGGGGGGTGGGATCCCCATTAACCAATTAGTGCCTCCTCTCCCAGTGCATTCAGCTGTCTCAGCCTTGTTCCAGGGGTGGGAGCTTGGTCCCTATGCTACAGCTGAGCCCCAGCCCAGACCCCTGGGAGTGAGGGCAGCTGTTAAGCAGCCCTCAGAATGAGGAAGGAGGCAGGGCTCCCTGAAACAGCATCTCCCTCCCCACCGCCCATCACTGCCTTGCACAGCCGCCTCAGGCCTTGGAGACAGCACTGAGAGCCCGGCTTAATCCCAAGTTAATGATGGTGGAGGGTAGGGACCCCTGCCCAGCTGGGACTGCTGAGAGGGAAGGGGAGGGGAAGGAGGTGTGGTGGAGGCAGCGGGGCTGCTGGGAACCACCTTGCACAAGAGCAGCTTCCAGTAACTCCGTCCGGGTGGTGGGGGTGGCTGAGTGGGCCTGGGCACACTGATGCTTTCACAGTGGCTTTCTTCCTGGAAAAGCTTTCTCCTTTTCACTCAGACATGTACACTCCCTTGCCCCACCATTCCCCTACGCCATGCGCATGCCTCTCACTTGCACACACTTCCCTGCATGCACACACGTCACACATACCTGCACGCAGACCTCTCTAAGCCACCACAGCAGTCAGATGCACACATTCGCGCACATGCGGTTGGAGTGTCCGTGCGCACTTCCTTGAACACACCAGTGATTCACAGTAAGAAGAACAGGTGAGATGCGAGTGCTCCCTTGCACTGCCACACCCTCCTCACAGACAGGGGCTGCCGCTTCCTTACTTGACCAGTGTGGAAACTGAGACCCGGGAAGGTCACACAACCACTGCAAATCACACAGCAAGAAGGGGCAGAGCTAGGGACTCGGACCCTGGCCAGCTTTACTCCCTACCAGCGTCCTTAGCCACAGCGGCCGTGGTTCCTGACCGCAGCCCCACTGGGACTGGCAGAGGTTCTGTTCCTCCTAGAGGAAGGGCGTCAGAATCTCTAGGGCGAGGCAAGGAAGCCAGCTCTTAAAGTGCCTCATGGGTATTGGGCTCTGCAGCTGGGAATGAGGGCTCGAGGCACCTCGCTGTAAGGCCAGCCGTGCCCATTCATCATTCCCCGGATGCAGTGGCCCTCTGTGCAGCAACCCACTTACACATGCCCTGCAGATGTCCGCAGACGCACGCTCACACTCTCCGCACCTTCCTCCAAAGACACGCACACTCCGGGGCAAAGCCAGCCCCTCCTTGCTGCCCTTGCTCTGTGACCTCTCCGATTCTTCCTGATTTCTTGTCCTAGAAACTCTGCTCCCCACACACGGGCTGTGGGAGCCTTGCAGAGAAGGGGTGAGAGAGACGAGGGTGTGGAGGGGAGTCCTCCTGGCCTTTCCTGGCACTGGGTGCAGCCCCAGGCAGGACGGGTCCGCACAGAGAGTGGAGCCAAGTAGCTCCCTGGGCGGGGAGTGACAGAATGATCCGCTCCTGTCCCTGGAGCCCCGTGACATGGCAGACCAGGTCCCCTCTCCCTTGGCTTGCCTGCAACTCTGGGTCAAAGGACCCTGGAGGCTGCCACACCCCTTGCCTCATGTGATGGGGTTCCAGTACTGAGCTTTCCACGAGGGGCCCGGGCCCCTCTCCTCCTGCTCCTTCAGGTCCCCAACCCAGCAGCTCCTGGGGGGCCCAGCACAGGCAACCGGGCCGGGGGGTGGGGCCGGGGGGCTCGTTCCACCCCGTGGATCATTTCTGTTTTGCAGCAGGCTCACCGGCTCGGCTCGGAGTGCGGGACTGAGAGGCAGTCAGGACAGAACGAGAAGACAGGTAAGTGCGGGGTGGAGCCCTTCCCTGCTGAGACGAGAACCCAGAGCAAGGACAGAGCGTGCTGGCTGCGGCCTTTCGGAAGTGGGCGGGGTGGAGCCCGAGCGGGCTCACACTCCAGAAGCCTGGCACAGGGCAGCCCTCTTCCTCACAGGGAGATGGTTAAGGAGAAAAGAAACGTCTGTTGGTCTGGGCTGCGGGTCAGGGCAGAGGCCGAGCGGCGGTCCCAGAGGACCCCCTCAGATGAACCACAGGTGGCCCGAGTGCTCTCCAGCTGCCAGACAGGCCGGGTCCGCAGCAGCCTCCCAGAGTCCAGCCGCCCTGGCCTCTCAGCAGCATTGCTGCCTTCTCCACACCCTCCTCTTCCTCCTGTCTGCCCTTCCTCCCCTCCTCCCACTCCGCAGCACCCCTGGCCCGAGTGCCTGTGCTGGGTCCCTCTTGCCTTCATCCTGGGCCGCCCTGTGCTCTGCTCCCCCCGCCCCCAGACCCTGGTCCCCGCTAACCCCACTTGCCAGATCTCTGTGTTGCCCTGAGAAACTGCCCCAGGGTTTTGCGGTGCTGGTCCCTGCCTAGAGCGGTGCGGCCCAAGAGAAACATTCTGTAATCTGAGCTGTCCAATGTGGCTGTTAGCTCTGAAATGCGGCTGGTACCACATTTCTCTGAACTCCTCTTCATGTTAACCATCCCTGGCCTATTGGCCACTGCATCGAATAGGGCTGGTACTGCAGAGGCTGTGCCGTGTGCTGGCATCTGGGCTGGCTGTGCCGCAGTCTTGCTGGGTGGCCCAGGGCGAGCCATTCGCCCTCACTGGTCGGGCTTCTTTCTATAATATGGCAAAGACTCATTCCCTCTCCTAACCTCAAAGGGAAGGTAAGGTCAACAAGTGGGGACATTTTAGCCAGAAAATGACCTCAGAAATGCAGAGTCAACAATGTCTGTGGTCATCACCAAAATAATAGAGACGATGTGTTGATACCAGTGGGCTTCCAGACCAGACAAACCCTCTCACCTGGACAGCAGGCCAGGGCCACGGCCAGCAGCAGCAGCAGGCGTGACTTCCTCCTGGAGAGGGTCCCCATGGCGGGGGTCTGGGCTGACGTGGAGAGCAGAGCAGAGGGCCTCAGCCCAGCAGGAGGGCAGGAGAGTCCAGCAGGAGGCCGAGAAGGACCTGGGGAGGCAGGAAGCAGGGGCGCCCAGAGCTGAGGTGTGCCGCTCCCAGCTCCAGCCCATCTGGGTCTCTCCTGGCAGAGGCCGGAGCAGTTCAACCGTTCGCCTTCCCCAGGGCCCAGAGGAAGGGGCTTGGCTCTTACAGGGAGCTCTTCCCTGGGCTGAGTGCCTCCGACTTCGCCCCTGGGAGTCCCACTCAGTCACGTGCTCCTGCCTCCCCCCTCCCCATCCCTGCACTCCCACAGCCGGCAGGGTGCTGCTTGGGAAGTGCAGCAGCATTGAACCGGGACTGGGAGGGAAGGACCACCTGCCCATTCACTGTAATATCTCTTGGCGTGGGTCCTGACGGGGCCCAGGCCTGGATTTGGGGACCTAGTTACATCTTTCTTTAGTAAGGGACTGCTCTCCCTGTCTCTCCCCCACAGCTGTCTGGGCCAGGGAGGGGGCAGCAGTAGGCCCCTCTGGGAGCTGTACAAAGTCTCTCAGGCCGAGTCATCCACGGACTCTCACCTGGGTCCCCAAGTGAGGCACTGTGTGCTGTGCGTGATGGAGCCCTAACCGTGGCCCCTTCAGCAATGCTCCCAACCACATGGGCAAAGGGTCCTTCTGTGCTGAAAGAGTTAATACAGCTTCCAGAGGAGGCTCCTTCTTTCGCAGAGCTGAGCAGAGACTTGGTTAAATCTTGGGAGCTCTGGAGAGCCTGTTCCCTGGGATGGGGGCCACGGAGAGCAAGTCAGAGCCCCTCCCTTGGTCTGAGACATGGGAGCCTTAACCTTAGAAGCGGGGGCAGGGCCAGCCTCCCATGTAGTGCCCCCCATGTCCGGACAGCTCTCCAGGATCCAGCACCCCAGGGGCACACGTTCCCGTGTTTGGGCGTCACAGTGAGTCAGATCTCCAAGCTGCTGCAGATTCTGCTTCTCTGCCCTGCCTGCCTGCTTTGCAGACACTTACAAGCACAGCGGGGTAGGGGAGGTCTGGTGCTCTTTCACTAACTGGCTGCAAGACCTGTGCCACTTTTGGGTCTCAGTGTCCTCATCTGCAGGACAGTGCTCGCTAAGGTCCCTTCCAGCTCTGAGACCTTGTGCTCCCAGAGAGCTCAGTGACGCTGAGGGCCTGGGCGTGCTGTCCCCTGCATGGGGATGGGGGGGCGGGGGAGGAGGGAAGGCTGGGTGCAGATGACCTTGCAGGCCAGTGCAGGGTCTGAAAAACAATGCACTCCGCATCTTTCTTTCTGGCTTCCTGCTCTGTCCCCTGGGAAAGAGTCCCCAACCTCTTTTAAACCCTCTCTGCCCCAACTCTAGCCTCATATACACTTTCCTTTGTCAGGAAGGGGCCCTGGGGCCACCGCTCTGTGACTACCTGCCCTTCCCTGTCCTTGCCACTTTCAGTTCCGGACCTGAGCCCAGAAGTTCAGCACTTTCAGCCCCTGCGATGCCCCCCAGCACCTCCATGCCCATGCCTCTGCCCGGGTGCCACCCCTTCCCACCGCGCCCTTCCCAGCAGGTGCACTTGGGACTGTCCCCCAGGCCCTGCCGCGGAGCACAGCGCCTTCGTTAGACGGCTGTGAGCTCCCGGAGGGAGAGGCCGTGTCTTCTTCACTTTTGTGTGGCCCGTGCCTGGCCCATCACAGGTGTTGCTTGTGCGGCACGTTTCACTGTTTGAGGACAGCCGTGCTCTGTGCCTGCGGGAGCCTCTGGGCACCAGGGTCACACTCCCACCCCCACTCCCATGGCAGAGCTCAGCGGGCTGCTGGCTGCCTGGCGGGCACACTCGTACACTCACTCACACTGGCATACGCTCACGCTCCTCTCAACACATTCACGCTCACAGACACGTGCTCTCCTTCACTCATGCTCACACGCACACACTTTCGCCCTTGTACACTCGCACACATTCTCACACACACACTCAGGTCTCCAGGGTGTTCAGTCAGGAGAGAAGCTGGGAGTGTGGTCCTGGATGCCTCACCAGCACAGGCAGCTTTCCTGAGAGGGGGTCCCCTGGGGCCCAAACTGTCCCAGGCTGGGGGCTCAGCAGACGGGGCTCGGGGACATCGGCTGCTTCTCCTAACAGCTTTGGGAGCTTGGACAAGTTATTCCCCCTGGTGGAGCCTGTTTTCTCACCTGCAAAGTGGAGATCGCCACGCTTGCTCTGCGGAGCTGCTCTGAACGCTCCCACCTGCCCCCTTCAGCCGGAGCAGCCCCACTTATACCTACATTCTCTCCTGGATTGCCTACGGGGCTCCCTTTACACAGAGGGTTCCACAGCTCCAAACACTCTGGAAATACCCCGTGGAGCTGGTGCGGCACATCCCAGGGCTGGGCAGAGAAGGCGTTCAGTCATCATTTGCTCACTGCTGCCCTTTGTCTGCCTGCCAGTCCTGAGAGTTCGAGGAGGGGAGGGTGTGGGCTCCGGACGCTCACTGGGGCACACCAGGGCAAAGCGGGGACTGACCACCAGGGAGCTGAGGCTCTGCAGCAGCAGTTGGCGCTGCTCCCTGGCAGTGAGGACGGGCACGAGTGGGTGTGCCTGTGCGTGCACACGTGTGCATGCATGTGCATGATGTGTGTGTCTCTGTGTCAGTGCCTGGGTGTGTCTCGTGTGTGTGCCTGTGTGGGTGTCCCTGCTCGCACAGGGTGTGACCACCTAGCCCCTGCTTGGTTTTTCTGCCACACCCATGAGGAGGTCTGTGTCCTGGATCATTCTCCTGCCCCCCACAGTGGTCAGAATCATCAGTTTTCTCACCACAGGTAATTATCATACTTTGTGGGTAATCCAGTTCTACTGCTTCTCTTCAACTTCAACTTAACCCAGACCTTTATCAGTCACCTCTGGGCTCAGGGGCCCTGTGTACCCCTGAGGGACAGATGTGGGTGAGGGGTGGGGTGGCAGCTGAGGGAGTGCCAGGGACCTGTCAGCAGGGTCATATGTACACTGAGCCCCACCATGTGCCCAGGCCTGTGTGAACACACACACACGCTCACACACACGGAGTCAGGGTCAAAGTTTGGAGCTTACTGCTGCCCCAAAGGTGAGGCAGTTGGCACCCAGTCTTGCCCTAGTTCATTTTTGTTCTAGTATTTATGACCATGTGCCAGGCACTGTGCTACGCACTGGGGACCAGCAGTGATACTGCCTTTACAGGTTCCCTGACCACCTGAGTGCCACCGAGCATGTGCTCATGAGCTACACGGACACTCATCTCCACCATCTGCCCTATAACGCATTCTAGAATGTGCAGGACGGAGGGGGCCTTTTTGTCAGGAGCGAGTGGAGCTATGCCAGGCCGGGAGCTGGCCCTGTGAGCCCGGAGCCAGCCAAGCCTGGCCCAGGCCAGCTGCCCTGGTGCAGGGGAGCAGGCACGGGCTGGCACAGGCGGGCATGAGCTGTCACCATTGGGCGCTGGTCCTACAAGCCACAAACACATGGGGGAGTGGGCTGCTTGGGGGTTTGGAGGCTCCAGGGGGAGCTGGCTGAATTGCTGGGCCCAGGAAACAAAGGGACAAGGGGGAGGAAAGGCTGAGAGCCGGACTCTGGCACAGGACAGGGCTTACTGGCCTCAGGGCCCCTGTACAGAGTGGTCAGAAAATGAACCATCTACTCTTCCTAAATGTTCTCATTTGGGACACCCTGCTCCTGGCCCTGAATCTGTCTCCCCCAACTCCTGGTGGACACGCCAGCACCGAGGGCTGCTTTTGGAGGGGTGGTGGTGGGAGAAGGGAGAGATTGGAGTCCGGTCAAGGGCAGAGACAAAGTGATTTGTTGTGAACCCACAAGCACTGCCCTGGCCCCGAGGTCTCCCACAGCCCACACCCTGCGGCACAGCACAGATTAACAGGGTGGGCTCCCAGCCAAGCCCCTGTCACTCACAAGCTAGTACAGCTCTACTTACTGTGCTCATTGCTAAACATCTCTGAGCCTTGGTCTCCTATAGGCACCAGGGGGGGGGGGGCGTAGCCACTCCAGGGGACTCCTGTGAGGTCAGTGCCATTTCTGGCCCAGTAAGTGCTCAGGGGACACAGACATGTGTCCACAAATGCTGTGCCTGGCGTCTGCTTCTACACAGCCACGACCCCCAGGCTGTGCTCACGCGTGTTTATGATACTGACAGCCTCCCACACTTTGCCCGGGCAGGTGCCTTCCTCCTCTTCTGCCCCGCGGGTGCCATGGGCCCCGGCAAGCCCAGCAGGCGCAGTACCCAGCTGAGGGCCCAAGGGCACGCGGAGCCACATCTATGTACCGTGTGTTCCTCCTCCTGGGGGCACCTGGCTAGGACACGCACAGGGCAGTCCCAAGCAGGTGCTCCTCCTCAGCCACCCCACCTCCTGCCCCTGAGGTCTGGTGGGGGGGGGGAGCCTACCCACAGAAGGAATTACCACTTGGGGCAAGGTCACTGTCCTCCAGGAAGATCTGAACCACTCCACGCCCTCTGGGAGGACAGGGGCTATGGCGGCCTGGTGGGGCTGCGTGCCAGGCAGGGCGGGCGCTGGAGGAAACAGACCTGTGCTTGAGAGGCCTCAGTGAAGAAGGTGGGTGCCCTGAGCTGGAGGAGGTCCCGAGGGCAGATTTGGGTGGGCTGGGGGCCCCCTTAGTCCTCGGTGAGGGACAGGGGAGCTGTGCAGGGGAGCTGAGCTACGCAGGGGTCTCCTCAGACCCTTCTCTGTGCTCCCTCCCCACCTGCACCGGCTTTTTCCTGCAGGATCCTTGTATTGGCAGCCGGTTCCCTGGGGCCCTCTGGGGACAGTGAGTTTGTGTGTTTTCAAACTTGGCCTCAGGGAGTCTGGCCCTTGACCCACAGCCTGGAGTTGCTGCCCTCCTGCCCCAGCCCCCACCTACTGCACCGGACAGACCCTCGAAGCAGGGAATGGACAGGGGGAGGGCCCTGCATCCTTCTGGGAGGAGCTGGGGTCAGGGGCAAAGCGCTGCCGGGGCCCTGGGGTCCCGTGTGTGGGGTTTGGAAGGACGAGAGAGGGTGTTGGAAGGAGGTCCCATTTTGAGATGTCAGGAGTAAGAGCCATTGTTTTAATCTGGTTCTGAAGAACCAAATCAGGGAGAAATTAGCAGAGCAATTTTGCATGTCCCCTCATCTCTGTGGAGAGGAGTTTCCCCCCAATTCCTAGACAGTTTCTTCCTGCCTGGTCCCGAGCCGAGCCTGGTGGGGGTGGGTTTGAACCTGCTCCTCCTCTCAGGCTCGTTTTTTGCTCTGGGGCCCAGATGAACTGCCCCTCTGGGTTGCACAGCAAGAAGGTCACTTTCCGCCAGATGGTGGGTGAAACAGCCTCTTGGTCCGTGAGGCTGGCAGACTCGAGGGGGTATGGGCTGGGGGTGGGGGGGCCCAGCAGGTTTCATTGGTATGGGTGCCCTGTATGTGTGTTCATGTGTGTGCATACATGTGTGCATGCGTGTTTGTGTGTGCACACATGTGGGGTGGGGTGAGGCTCATCAGATGAGAAGGATATTGGGGTGTGCTTGGGTCTGCACGTGTCCTGAGGTGCAATGTGTTCAGTCCAGGGGGAGAATGTCATACACCTTTGCTTCTGTTTGCACCCTCTCTGGATAAATAAGAAAACGTGGGCTCATTTTGTAACAAGAGGACTCATTAAATCCAAGGAAGGACTTCTTCACTCCAGGGTGGGTATTAGCAAGACACAGAGCCCATGGGGACTCTCATGGTGCTCCAGGTTAGCCGGCCGTAGTGGGTGGCAGGGGGTTAGCCTAGACTGGGGTGGTCTGGAAGCATGAGAGATGGGCAGTGGGGAATGAATAAGATGTCTGTCTTCTTATGGATTCCTAGCCACCCCTGCCTCTTGCATTTGAAAGAGGATAACCTGAACCTGGAAGAAATTTACAGGGTCATCCAGCCCAACCACCACTTCCAGGCAGGATGGTTTCTGACCTTGGACCGGACCCCATTTTTCCATGGCCTCTTAGAGCCATCGGAGGGACTGCCCCACCTCAGGCTCATCTTCCTGGTAAGGAAGTGCCTCCTGCAGTCTGATCTCAATCCCTCCTGCTTCACTGGGACATTCTTGGCTCTGGTTCTTCTTCCTCTTGCTCAGTCCCCTGGTTCTGCCCTAGGAATCTCTCCAAAAATACAAATACCACCTACACTCAGGCATAGACTGTCTTGGAGATGCACTTTCTCACAAACATTTGGCTTGAGGACTTTCTGGGGGTGAAGGTGAGGACATGCACCCTCCCAACCACCCCAAATGAATTGCCTCCCTGATAGCCTCGGAGCCAGAGGGGTTGCCTTGCCCCCCCCCCCCCAGCGCTTGCTCCTGGGGAACAAGTTTGGTGTCAAAGACAACAGGGGCCACTGTGCGGCCGTCCCATTGAACACGGTCCCCAGGGGCCCAGCCCGCCTGTGCTTCTAGTTGGACACTGCCGTCGGAGAAGGTGCCGGGGTGCAGTGACATGAGAAGTGAGGTCTGTCAGGGGCATGGTGGCGGGTAGGCAGAGAGAGCTGGAGGTGGAGGAGCACATTTGACCGGGGAGGACGTGTGAGGGGAGAGAGAGCTGGGCCAGGTGGGGAGTGGAGGGTGAGTGGGAATGAGAGAGGGTCACAGAAAGAGAACTCTGAGTTTCTCTCACTGCTTGTTCTGAGCACCAGGACCTTGGTGACTTTGATGTCATGGGCTCAGGGGCCTCCTCCCCATCTGCCTCACTTCCTGCCTCCCTTGTGCTGCCTGAGGACTCCTGATAGATTCCACAGGAAATTAGGAAGAACTTTGACCTTGTGGCAAAGGCCTTGCTTGAGTGGCTCTGCAGCCTGGCTAGAAAGGGTTAACTGGTGAGAGCCCCGCTCCCTCCTCCCAAAGCCAGGGGTCTGGGCTCCATCCCTCTACCCCACCCCCAGGAGCCTGTCACATCAGCCTCTTTCACAGGTGGCCCTCCCTCTGCTGCCCTGGGTCCCCAGTGGCTCCACTGGTTCCTCTGAGTGCAAATGAGAGGACGAGCGGCCCAATACACCGGGGGGGGGGGGGTACTCTGACCACAGGGCGGGGAGAGGAGACCCAGCCAGCCAGCGCCAGAAGGAGATCAGGAGGCACCTACGCACTGGAATATTGGGCGATCCTACTCCTGCCTCCCTGGGAGCAGAGGGGCTGAGGATGGAGTCTGTGGCCCTGAGGGGTCAAGCCAAAAGGAAGGGGTGGTAGGGTCTCACCAGACCCAGGCTGGACATGGGCAGGGGAGTCAAGGGTAGGTACCTCGGGGGCTGAAAACTCCAGCTTCCCCAGGGCTGGGCCATGGACACTCACAGCTCTGGTCTGTCTGCATTCCCAAACCTCCAAACAACCTTGACTGACAGCCTTTCCTCAGGGCAAAGGCTCCGGCTCCCAGGGGCCTGTGGCTGAGGGGTCCCTGGCTTTGTCCCACAGCGTCGGGGCTCTCCTTCCACAGGTTCTGTCTCTTCTCACTTCCCTTTCTTGCTTCCCAGACCCTGGGACCCCTCCTGGACAAGGTGACAGGATTCAGCTCTGGACACTGGCTGGGGCTGCTGCCCCCACCTCTGGTCTGTTACATAAGCCCCCGTGGTGCCAGGGAGAAGGGCTGCTTTCTTTTCCCCGGACCCCTAAAGGGTGCCCCTCCCCCTTCCCAGCCCCTTTCCTTACCAAACTTCATGCAGATCTTTCTCTCCCAACAGTGAGGATGGCAGGGTGGGACTTGAGGAGAAGGTAAGGTTGGGTGGGGGTGGGGGGAGAACAGGAATGTCAGCCCCTATGGTCCCAGCCACTTGCCTTAGTTTTCCCTCCCTAAGTCCTACTCCTGGTCAGGCCCTTACCCAAACTTGAGCTCCACCCCCTCCTCTGTGGGACTGAAGGAAGACTTTGCAAAGAGGTCACCCTGCCGAGGCCAACCCAGGGCAGTCTCCAGTCCAGTGGCCAAGCTCAACTCCCTCCAGGGATATCTGGGGACAGGCCAGATTCTGGGGCCTGACCCCAAGGGCTTTCTGGGCCTGGACGTGGGGCCCAGGGATAGCGAGGAACAACTGTCCTCTCTGAAGGAAGTCGCTGCCGTCAGCTGGTGGCCAGTAGCCAGCTTGAATTCCTGGGCACACAGCTGGGGGCTAGCTTCCTGGCCAGCTTGGCCTGCCGGGCCCTGCAGGATGCCACCCCTGTAGACAGGGGGGAGGACACTTCCAGTCCCAGTGGAGAGAAGTCAGACTGGCCCCAGCCTGCAGCTGGGGTCCCTGCCATGTCCCTGCCCCTCCCAAATTGCCAGGACACTGAGCTCTGAGCCCCTGACCCAACCGCGCCTAGGAGACAAAATTGGTTGGCACCTACCTGGTGTGAAAGAGGGGTGTTGACTGGGGCAGGTGGATGCTGCCCGAGGCGGTGAGCCAGCCTGGCCGCCAGAGCCCTGGGCTGCCCACCTCTCCTCCCTTGTCCCCTCAGTCGCTCGCCACTGTCCGGGTGCGGTGGCGGCGGCGCTGGTGCTGGCAGCGGTGGCGGGCGAGGGCGCTTGTGTGTGTGCGCGCCCGGAGCCACTGCAGCATCTCTGCATCAAGATGTGCTCCTCCCTCTTCCAGGCTCCGCTCACTGGCTGGCTCCTGTCCTCAGCCAACGCTCGGGGCCCTGGAGATGACTTCCTCTGCCCCCCTCCCGCCCCCTTCCCGTCCCCACCCTTCTGGCTTTACCTCATTTGCTGTCATTTGAGGACCAGGGAGCAGCCAGAGCCCCCGCTGTCTTCCATAATGCACGGGCGGCTCAGCTCCCGGGCGCTGTCTGGCCTGCCTGCCCACCCCCAGCCCGACCCAGAGCGGGCTGCAGAGGGGTGGGGTGCAGAGGAAACCAAAAGCGGCTCTTGCTCGTCAAACCCTGGAGACCCAGGGAGCCGATCTCCTTGTTTCCCTAGAAATCCCATGTTAGAGGAAGGGGCGTTAGTCGAAACCTCCAGCTTGTTGTGCAGGGCAAGTGGGGTGGAAGGGCTCCTTGGTGGCCCAGCCCACAGGTTCGTCTTGATTGTTTCCCTGATAAAAGTAACACGGCTCTTTGTCAAGATACTCAAACATTAGAGGACATTGTAAAGTAGACAGTAGAAGTCTCTTAACGAATCTGAGTTATATGCCTCCAGGTTTATTACTTTTATGTATATAATTATGTGGATCATTAGTATTATTTTGTAAAAGGGAATGACACAATCCATCAGGATTTACAAAATATTTTTTATCTCTGATAGATCTTGGACCTCTTTCCACGTCAGTACCTATGGATCTGAACCCATTTTTAATCCACCAGCAGTGCCCCGGGCTGGGGGTCTGAGCGTCTGGAGGGTGAGCAGGGCTTGCTAACTGGCCATGTGCTGGGCCAAGTGCCCTGTCCTCTCTGGGTCCCCTGTGGAACCTGAAGGCCAGGTTTGCGCTGCGGGCTCTGAGAGGCCGGGTGCTTACCCAGGCCAGCGCTCTTTCCCGCTCTGCCCCCGCCATGCAGGGAACAGTGAGGATCTGTGCCCAGTAGCAGAGGTACCAGCCATCTGTGGCAGCAGTCGGTCCCGTCAGGCTGCCACTGTTGTCTCACCCCCTTTGGTCCGCCTGCTGTCCAGCTCACACAGACATGGCCAGTGAGTGGCCCAGATGCTGAAACAGCTGGCAGGGCCGGGCCGGCCTCGGAGTTTTAAATGGCTGTACCTGCCTAGCCCAGAGTATGGCAATGTGTCTTCCTGAGTGGAGGGGCCACAGGGTCCTGGGGGAGACCCGGGCTGAGTGGGAGAGTCCGGAAGAGGAGGAGCTGTGCGTGGGGGAGGGCCAGCTGCCCCGCCTCCAAGGCTGGAAGGCCTGCCCAGGTCCTGTGCTCTCCGCCCTCCCGCCCAGCCGTCCTTTTTGTCCCCTCTGAAGGGCTTGCCTGGCTCTGGGGCAGTCTTCTTCGTTTCAGACAGAGAGACATCTGTGCTAAGGACGTTTCTTCAGCTTGCAATACCTCTGTATACATCCCTCCCAGGTGCCTTTCCTTTCCTGCCTCTGCCCAGATTGTCCCCGTCGGTCTGTCTGTCTGTCTGTCTTCCTGGGGCTGGCACACTGACCCTGAGCTGCTGAGGGGAGTCTTGCCCTCTGACACTGTCCAGTTCAGCCCGGGCTCTGCAGAGAGGACTTCCAGTTCTCTCCCAGCGGAAAACAGCGCCAAGGGAGGGGAGGCCCATCTGCTGTGGTGGGGCCGCGGCCTGGCACTGCCTGCAAGGGCTGCTTTATATCGAGACTGCTGTTTTTGTGACTGTTTTCAGACAGCTGCTACCTCTGTGCAAGGGCGGGGTCCTTGAGGAGGGCCACATTTCCCCCCCCCTTGGCTCAGGTGACCCAGGTCTCAAAGGCCCTCTCAGATTCCTCTGCAGCCCACCTGCCCTGTCCCGCACCGCCGGGTGGGCTCCGGCAGCCACGAGCAGTGGGAACTGAGAGCACGTGCTCAGCAGAGGCCTGGACCCGGAGGGACACTCACCGGAGTTTCATCTTGTCACCAGTGGGAGGCTCTCACCTGAGCCTGGCACAGTGAATTTTCGGGGTTCCTGGGGGTCCTCGCTGCCAGCCTCTGAGTCACTCCTGTATCTGACAAGAGAGTGGGGTGGGGATTTGGGGGTCCAAGTTGAGTTTTGCTTGTGGGGTCCATTAGTTTGATAATGACCAAAATATTTTATAATGTCATTATTAGTTTTTCCTGAATTATTAATAATAATGTCATTGTCTCCAATCTAATGTGTCAGGAGCCGTGCTAAGTGTTTCACCTAAATTATCCACCCAAGGTGTGAGTTGTCATTGTTATTTTCCTTCCACAGGTGATGTGCAGAGAGATCAGGACCGTGCTCCCAGCAAACAGGGAACGGGTGGAGGCTGCTGGCCTGGCCCCGGCGTCCGCAGTCTGACCGCCCGCCCTGCTGGTGCGGGCACAGCAGAGCACAGGGCGGCTTCCTCGGATGCGGTGTCTGCCAGACCCCAGGATCCTCAATGCAGTTGAGTATAATAAGGGGCACCGCTGCTCTCTGTGGCTAATCAATGTCCCCCAGGTGGGGCAAAGAAAGGCTGCACGTTTGCCTATAAACGTAAGGTGACTCCAGAGTGGGAGCTCTCAGAAAGCATCTTGAGGGCCACCCAACCCTTCTGAGACCATCTGCTCCTGCCTCCAGCAGCCCTGCCAGATGGAAGGCGCCCGGGGACAGTGGGGAGGAGCTGACACCTGCCGGGGCCACCAGAGGGCTCTGACCCACGTGGACACCTTCCCTGGTCAGCTGCAGCCTCACGCCTCCCTTCCTGGCCTCTCTAGCCACCAGCACCTCCGTCTCTGGTTTGAGACTCTTTTTCTTTTCTAGAGCTCCCACAAGGCCACACATGTGTGCAGCAGCTTCTCTGCCTAGAACAGTGGGGGACTCAAGGGCCACAGGATGTAGTCTGTCTTCTAAGGGCCTGAAATCTTTCTGGAAGCATCCTGATAGTGGTACCAGAGCTGTCCGTCTGCAGCTTTGTGGAAGAGTGACCAGGCAGGTCGTGCAGAGCTCTGAACTCAGACCAGCTTAACACACTGGCCTGCTGCTCATGAGCTTTGTGGCCCTGGGCGGCCACTTAACTCTGAGAAGCTCCAGGTTCTGCATCTGGAGAACTGGGATTAAGACACAAACCTCACTGAGTTGAAGTGAGCATTGAATTACTCATGAAGTATCTATCATGGTGCCAAGCACGTAGTAAGTGCTCATTAAATGTCAGTTCTTCCCTTGGGGCCGTTTTGGTATTCAACCTCCCCATCTGCAGCGCAGGGATGTGCGCCTGCTACCGGGCTCTTCTCTGCTGTGATGGTTGAGGTGGCTTAGGGTCTGTGGTCCAGAGAACTGGACTCCTTAGCCCTGTCACTCCTGGCTGGGCAGGTCACTGAAGTACACTATTGAAGGGGAGATTTATTTCCTCATCTGTAAAATGGGAATAACCCTGCTCCTACTTAGCATGGTTTGATAACTTAGCCAAGTGCCACACGCGAGAGTGATTGCTACTCCCTGCGCAGTGTCCGAACGCAGTGGTCATCGCATCGTTGTCGCTATTTTCCCGCACCCCCTCCTGCTTAGCACAGAACAATAGAGACTCAGTGTATTTGGTTGACTGGTGGTGAGTGGAGGGGAGTGATTGCTATAAGAGCTCAGATGCGGGGGAGGGAGGGAGCTGAGAGAGGGTGGCTGGGGTGGGGGTGCCTCCCCCATTAGGCCTGGACAGATAGAATGGAAGGGAGAATGCGGTCCTGGCGCAGGGTTCAGGAGACTGGGAAGAACAAGACTTTTGGGGGGCCAGGAGGAGCTGAACGGAACTGAGCAGGGGTGCGGGAAGGGGAATCACAGTCCTCCGTCTGTATTTGCCTTTCTAATTTCACTTGAGGGCCCGAAGGGGTCTGTGGCCTGAAGGGCCTAATTATTCTTTTAGCCATTTCTACCCAGGGCTCTTGGAGCTTCTTTTTCAGGTTTATAATAGGCAATGCTAATGTCATTATTAATATTTAATAGTAATGATGCTAATAATGCTTTGCATTTATGTGGTCTCTCCAAAGAGCTCAAAGAACCCTACATTCTTTTTTTATGGAATAATTTGGCCAGCGTGAGAGGTCGGAGAGTGGGGGAGGGGGAGGGCGCGTCACAGGGAAACCAGAGCCCGGGAGGTCAGATGACCAGCCGAGGTCACACAGCAGTAGCGCCAGAGCTGGGAAGGGGGCCGGGCGCTGGGTTTCTCTGGCCGGAGCTCTGCCTGGACTGCACTGGGCCGGGTCTGCGAAGGACACCCCTGAGGGGCAGCAGCTGTGACCTGGGTGTGGGCTAGGCTGCAGAGGGGCGGCCTCTGAGTGTTTGGTATTTTATCTTATTTTATTGACATTGATTAATAGGACCATATAGGTTTCCGAGTGTTCTTTACTGAGCCAGCCTAGGGTGGCCAGCGGGCAGCTGTGACACGTGGGAGCGGGAAGGCGCAGATGGAGATGGGAACCCTCAGCCAGGTCCGTAGCGCGCCCCGAGCCCCCAGCCGTGCCCTGTTCTCCCTGCACCTCCTTGCAAGAGGCATAACCTCTTGGGAGCAGCTTCAACCAACCCGCGTCTGAGCACAGACCTCTCTCTGCTATCTTTGTATTTCCCTACTACAGTCTGTCAGGGCCAAAAACATAGCTGAGATACATAGTTACAGAAGAGCTAGCACAGGAGAACTTCCTGGCTGCTGGGTCCTGTGCTCCGAGGGAAGCTGCATTTACATAAGAACAGTGAGCCCCTGGAAGGAGCCAGTGCAGAACAGAGTGGAAGGCGGTGGGCTTCAGAGTAAGACAGTTCCTATTCCGCCCACTCCGCTGACCAGCCACGTCATCTCAGGCTTCTCTGCACTTCAGTGTCCTCATCTGAGGAGGCGGGACTTTGCCTCAGAGGGCTGTGTGGACCAGCTGAGGTGATGAACGTCAGTGGAGGGAGCAGTAGGAATCTCAAGGTCCTGGCTCCCTTTGAAGGAGTGTCCAGGGGAGGTGGTGTCAACGTCGGGATCCAGC